TTTCATCTTGTCTGTCTTTCTGTGAATGTGGTTTTTGTTCCACAGGCTGCAGGATTGTAGTTCTTGCTTCTGCTGTCTGCCCTCTGGTGGATGAGGCTATCTAAGAGGCTTATGCAAGTTTCTTGATGGGAGGGGCTGGTGGTGGGTAGAGCTGGTTGTTGCTGTCATGGGCAGAGCTCTGTAAAACTTTAATCCGCTTGTCTACTGATGGGTGGGGCTGGGTTCCCTCCCTGTTGGTTGTTTGGCCTGAGGCGACCCAGCACTGGAACCTACGCAGCTCTTTGGTGAGGCTAATGGTGGACTCTGGGAGGGCTCACGCCAAGGAGTACTTCCCAGAATTTCTGCTGCCAGCGTCCTTGTCCTCATGGTGACCCACCCCCACCTCTGCAGGAGACCCTCCAACACTAGCAGGTAGGTCTGGTTCAGACTCCTATGGGGTCACTGCTCCTTCCCCTGGGTCCTGATGTGTGCACTACTTTGTGTGTGCCCTCCAAGAGTGGAGTCTCTGTTTCCCCCAGTCCTGCCAAAGTCCTGCAATCAAATCCTGCTAGCCTTCAAAGTCTGATTCTCTAGGAATTCCTCCTCCCATTGCCAGACCCCCAGGTCGGGAAGCCTGACGTGGGCCTCAGAACCTTCACTTCAGTGGGTGGACTTGTGTGGTATAAGTGTTCTCCAGTTTGTGAGTCACCCACCCAGCATTTATGGGATTTGATTTTATTGTGATTGCGCCCCTCCTACCATCTCACTGGGGCTTCTCCTTTGTCTTTGGATGAGGGGTATCTTTTTTGGTGAGTTCCAGCATCTTCCTGTCAATGACTGTTCAGCAGTTAGTTGTGATTCCGGTGCTCTCGCAAGGGGGAGTGAGCACACATCCTTCTACTCCGCCACCTTGAACCATCCTGTAGTAATGTCTTATGATCTGTGTATTTCTGCGGTGTCCATTGTAACTTCTCCTTTTTCATTTCTAATTTTATTGATTTGAGCCCTCTCCCTTTTTTTCCTGATAGTCTGGCTAAAGGGTTATCAATTTTTATTATCTTTTCAAAGAACCAGCTTTTAGTTTCCTTGATCTTTTCTATTGTTTTCTTCATCTCTCTTTCATTTATTTCTGCTCTGATCTTTACAATTTCTTTCTTTCTACTAACTTTGGGTTTTATTTGTTCTTTCTCTGGTTGCTTTAGGTGTAAGGTTAGGTTGTTTATTTGAGATTTTTCTTGTTTCCTAAGGTAAAATTGTATTGCTATAAACTTCCCTCTTAGAACTGCTTTTGCTGCATCCCATAGGTTTTGGATCGTCATGTTTTCATTGTCATTTGTCTCTAGGTATTTTTTGACTTCCTCTTTGATTTCTTCAGTGATCCATTGGTTGTTTAGAAGCATATTGTTTAGCCTCCACGTGTTTGTGTTTTTTACATTTTTTTCCCCCTGTAGTTGATTTCTAATCTCATAGCTTTGTGGTCAGAAAAGATGCCTGATATGATTTCAATTTTTATTAAATTTACTGAGGCTTGATTTGTGGCCCATGACGTGATCTACCCTGGAGAATCTTCCATGTGCACTTGAGAAGAAAGTGTATTCTGCTGCTTTTGGATGGAATGCCCTATAAATTATCAATTAAGTCCATCTGGTCTGTTATTTAAAGCTTGTGTTTCCTTATTGATTTTCTGTCTGGATGATCTGTCCATTGGTGTTAGTGGGGTGTTAAAGTCCCCCAATATTCTTGTGTTACTGTTGATTTCCCCTTTTATGGCTGTTAGCATTTGCCTTATATACTGAGATTCTCCTATGGTGGTTGCATATATATTTACAATTGTTATATCTTCTTCTTGGACTGAACCCTTGATCATTATGTTGTGTCCTTCCTTGTGTCTTCTAAGAATTTTTATTTTAAAGTCTATTTTGTCTACGCATTGCTACTTCAGCTTTCTTTTGATTTCCATTTGCATGTAATATCTTTTTCCATTCCCTCACTTTTAGTATGTATGTGTCCCTAGGCCTGAAGTGGGTCTCTTGTAGACAGCATATATACAGGTCTTGTTTTTGTACCCATTCAGCCAGTCTATGTCTTTTGGTTGGAACATTTAATCCATTTACATTTAAGGTAATTATCTATATGTATGTTCCTATTGCCATTTGTTTTGGATTTATTTTTTTAGGTCTTTTTTCTTCCCTTCCTCTTTTGTTCGCCTCTCTTTTGGCTTGATGAGTATCTTTAGTGTTGTGTTTGGGTTGCTTTTTCTTTTTTGTGTGTGTATCTATTGTAGTTTTTTAGTTTGCAGTTCCCATGAGGTTTTGATATAGCAGTCTATGTGTGTGTGTGTATATATATATATATATATATATATATATATATATATATATATATATACACACAAGGTTTTTTTAAGTTGCTGGTCTCTTAATTTCAAATGCAATTCCCATTTCTCACATTTGTACTCTCCTCTTCTCATGGTTGCTGGTTTTGATATCATATTTGTGTGTGGATGATTTCCTACTTGACGTATTTTATTTTTTGATAGTATTATAAACTGAATTCTTTTTAATTTCCTTTGAGTTATTGATAGTGTACAGAAGTAAAATTGATTTCTGTGTGTTGATTTTGTCACCTGCAACTTTACTGAATTGATTAGTTCTAAGGGTGTTTGTGTGTAGATTCTTTAGGGTGTTATAGATATAAGATCACGTCATTTCCAAGTAAAGGTAGTTTTACTTCCTTTCCAGTTTAGGTGTCTTTTATTTCTTTTTCTTGCCTACTTGCTCTGGCTAGAAATTCCAGTACACTGAATAGAAATTCCTGATCTTAAATAGAAGGGGGAAAAAAGCAGTCAGTCTTGTCTTTGCCCAATCCAAGGGGAAAAGTTTTCTGTTTTATAACCATCGAGAATGATGCAAGCTGTGTTTCTCATATATGGCCTTTGTTGAGAAAGTTCCATTCCATTCCTAGTTTGAGTGTTTCTATCATGAAAGGGTGTTGGATTTTTCCAAATGTTTGTTTTTTTTTCCTGCATCAATTGAGATGATCATGTGGTTTTTCCACCTTCATTCCATTAATGTGGTATATTACCTTGATTTTTATATTGAACCACCTTTGCATTCCTGAGATAAATCCCACTTGATACTGGCATATAATCCTTCTAGTTAGCTGCTGAGTTTTGTTTTATTATTTTGTTAAGAATTTTTTGCATATGTTTTGATAAGGGATGTTGTAGTTTTATTTTCTTGTAGAGTCTGTGTCTAGTTCAGTATCAGGGTAATGCTAGACTTACAGAATGAGTTAGGAAGTGTTCCCACCACTTCAGTTTTTTTGGAAAGAGTTTGAGAAGGATTGTTGTTAATTCCCCTTTAAATACATGGTTAAATTAATCAGCAAGGCCATTTGATCCTAGGCTTTTCTTTGCTGGGAGTTTTTTGATTAGTGATTCAATCTCCTGACTTGTTGTAGGTCTATTCAGATTTTCTATTTCTTCTTGAGTCACTTTTGTTAGTCACTTTTGTTTGTATTTCTAGGAATTTGCCCATTTCATCTAAGTTATCCTATTTGTTGACATGCAGTTCATAGTGGTCTTTGATGATCCTTTGTATTTCTGTGAAGTTGGTAGTTGTATATTTTGAGGGGTCATTCTCAGTGTCCTAGATCACCTAACCAATTTGATTTCAAGGGTCCCAGAAAGAACAGTCATATGCGATGTTTCCACTTTGGGTGTGCCTCTTGGCCCTTCAGCCCCATCTTCATCAGCCTCAGGACAAAGGTGGCAGTGCCACCCCCAGGCTGAGTCATGGGAGCTGCATGAGTCTGATGACAAGAACTGGATCAGGCTTTACTGAGCGCTCAGCATGAAGCAGGTTCAGGTGAGGGCTTTCCAAGCACTGGAAAAGTAAGGCACCCCTTACTCTTCACAATAGCCCTGGCACCTGCCACCCATTACTATTCCCATTTCACCAATGAGAAGACAGCCTCAGAGACATGAGGTACTTGCTCAAGATCAGATAACCAATATGAACCTGTTTGACATCAGGTCTGCCTATCTGTGCATATTTCGACAACTATGCTATGCAGCCTCCTCCCTTCCCGAGGGACAACACCCTAGAATGGGGCAAAGGCTAGAGAATTTAAGCTCCAGCCTGTCCCTCCCTCCCTCCCTAAAGGTTTGACAGAGTGGAGCCTCCCCAGGTACCTCTAGCGGAGGAGAACCTCCATCTGTTACTACACAAAGCAGCAAATACCCCTCTACCCAGTCCCCAGTACCAGTGAAGAAGTGAAGTGCAGAATAGCATGAGGAGTACGAGCCAGCAGAGGATGTATGTGTACTTAGCTACTCATATTTGTAAAAAAAAAAACTTCTGGAAAGATCCACAGAAACTGGTGGTAGTGGTTTCCCCTGAAGAGGTGAGAGGGGGGTGGGTTAGAGGTGAGGGTTGGGGGTGGGGTGAGCTGTTTAGAGGGAGACTTAGATCTCACTGTAGGCAGTGTTTGCTTTATCTTTGTGGATATATATATACACACATACACACACACACATACATACATACATACTTTTAAATGTCCAGCCTGGAGAGGGACAGGGTCAGGCTCAGTGAGTTCTCCCCACTTTGCCTCATGACAGGAGGCAGGACCACCCAGGGGGCTTAAGGCGGTGGAGTCTCACAGACCAAGGACTCGCAGCTCTGTGACCCTGGCAGAATCACTTAACCTCTCTGAATCTCAGACTCCTCATCTACATAATGGGAATGATGACAATCCCTACCTCAGAGTTGTGGCAAGGATGAAGAGAGACAGCACTTGACAAGCAGAAGGCCTTCCCGACAGTGAGAAATAGTTTTTATTATTCATGTCATTGAATTCTTTATGATATCATCACCTCAACACCATTAACTACCAGCCCAGTCTTTCCCGGGGAGGCTCAGGCCGACTCTAGCCCGTCAGAGACTGGGATGACAGTGTCCCCTGGTGGACATGTTGTGAACTGCACCAGATAAGTCTGACCCATTGGAAAAAGAACATCAGTTAAAATTCAGCTTTATTTTTCCCTTTTACCCATCAATATTTCAGCATGTACGACTTAAGAGCAATGACATACTCTAACAGAACAGTAATCAAAATCACGTAACTTAACATTGATAAAGTACTATTACCCAGTGTACACAGTCCATATTCACATTTTGCCGGTTGTCAATATGGTGCTCTTTATAGTAACTCTTTCCTGGTCTAGGACCCCTCCAGGATCATAAGTGACATTTGATTGCCAGGTCTCTTCAGTATCCTTTAATCTTGAACCATTTCTCCGCCTTTCTTTATCCTCCATGACCCTGACAATTTTAGAATTCAGGCCAGTTATTTTGCATAATGTCCCTCAACGTGGATGTGCCAGTGTTTCTCCTTGGGTAGATTCATGTTGATGTGTTTGTCAGGAATTTCACAGGCGTTAGGCTGTGTCCTTCTCAGGCAAGCAATGTCGGTTTGTCCCAACACTGGTGTTCACTCTAACTCCCCCATTTGTGAGCATGTGGGAGCTGAGTCACCTATAGTCACACAGCGAGTCGGAATCCTCAGCTCAGGGGCTTGACAAGTGCTCAGGGTACCTGCAGCAAGGCAAGAACTTCCCCCCAACAGCCAGGGCCTCCTCAGGCCCCACACTTTGGGTGCCTGTGGGCTGGGGGAACAGCAGGGCTGCTTTCACGGTAGCATCCCACAACAGTCCAGCTGCCTGGACCCCCTTTCTGCTTCACCCATTTCTAATTACTTTTAAGACTTTTTCATTCCACAACTGATACATGCATTTTCATTGTGTTTAGTAAAGTATTTCAGCCAAAGCTAAAGTCCCCTTTGAAATCTTCTCCCCTTTCCCTGCGCCCTCTTCCAGAACTAACCAGTTAACAGTTTGGCGTGAGAGAGAGAGAGATAGCTACATTGCCAGGAAAAAAAATGCAGAATAGCATAAGCAGTACGAGCCAGCAGAGTATGTATGTGTACTTAGTTAGGGAGCATTCTCTTTCCACAAATGGTCACACTTAGGTCAGTCTCAAAGACATTTCCTGGTGGGACCTGGAGACTGAGCTGATTATTCTCTCCTCCATCGTCATGTTTCAGCATGTGGCCACACGAGTGGCTACTTAGCTGATCCCCTCTAGATGGACATCTAAGTTGTTTCTTGGGCTTTGCTATGACGGAACACACTGCCCTGTGCACCTGATCCAGGGCTTCTCTGAGGGAAATGCCCACTTCCAGGATCCAGCACTGCTCCTGGGGCACCATGTCCCCTGAGTGGTCTCCTCACTTAGGGGGTGAGGAGGGTTCGATGTGTCTTTGTTCACTCAACGTATTAGAATTGCAGGACTCTTGGGACCTCTGAGAGCACCTGGGCTGGGCTTTCATAGTGTGTTTCAAGGATTTCTAGGGTTCCAAGATAGTATGGTGACAGAGAGCAGTTGAACTGATGACAGTCCAGATACTCACCCCAAATCCAACCAGAAACACCCTTCCTGCCTCTACCTGGTTTTAATTAAGTTTCTCTTTAAAAAACAAAAGGCTGTTTTAAAATTCAAAAATCTCTGATGTAGCCTGACCACCTACCCAGCACCGAAGCGCACCTGTATCATGCAGATCCACTGCTCCCATTAATGCAGCCTCCACCCATGTTCTTGTTGCCCCACGACCCATACCAAGCTCCCAGCTGACAAACCCCAAACAGGTGTCTGCAAGTGCTGCCCTTGTACCATTGGGGTTGGTGTTTTGATGTGCTCCCAGTTGTGTCCCAGCATGCCCCAGGGCAGCCGTCCACAATTCCGTGGAGTTTCTCTGGCTCATCCTTTGTGGCCTGATTCAGTGTTCCCACACTTTCCTGTGCGGCAGGGAGTTTGTTTAAAAGCCACATTTCTGGGTCTCCCTGCCAGAGGTTCTGACTGAGTGGACGGGACTGGGGGAGCCTGGGAATGTGCATTTCGTAAAGTTCCACAGAGGCTCCTGCCTCTCTGCTCCCTGCCTCTGCCCCTCCCCCGCAAATCTCAAACTCAACCAGGCTGGGAGGGCTAGGAAGTCATTGGTTTTTACCCAAAGTTTTCATTCCTCGGGCAGTGGGACTCTGAATTAATTAGAACCCGTAGAAGCCCTCTATCTGAGCCAGGGTTTCCCAGAGTGCTGAAGAGGTTGTTAAAATGCAGGTGCTCGGGCCGCACCCCACATCTGCCAGAGAGGAATCTCTAGGGGCACAGCCGGAGAATCTGCATTTTAAGCAAGTTCGCCAGAGTAGCCACTGAGTCCAACTCCTTCCACACCCCTAAGAGATGAGGGAAACCGAGGATCAAAGCATAAGAGTGACTTGGCCCGGTCACTTCACACACTGATAGCAGAACTAATTCTAGACTGAGGCTCTTCTCAGTGCAGTGCTCCAGCCCCAGCACTTCTCAACCATCTAGCGTGGCTGAGGGCTCTTTGTCACCTGAGACACCCCACTGGCTGTCCTGGGACAGGCCTCTGCTATCTAGAAAAGCTTCAGTTTACAATCCATTGAACTGATCTTTCACAGTCACCTTGTGTGTACGGGGGTGGCCAGACTGGCCGTGCATGTGAACATCCTTCTTTCCACCCTCCCCTGCGGGCCTTGCAAAAACGTCAGACAGACGGACAGACAGGACCAATGTGTACAAACAGAACCCCACTTTATTAGCAGTTAGTTCAAGATTGTACATTAATGGAGGGAAGGTTCCCACTTTTAACACAACCCAAAACGGCTGGTTTGAGAGCCCTGACCAGGTGAGCGGGGTAGCGCCCCCCTCTCTACTCCTCTCCGCACTCCCACGAGGGAAGGAAACCTCTGCCTGCTCCCCTAATGTGCCCCGCACCCTCTCCAGTCAGCCCTCTCCTCTCCCCAGGAAATGACATGAATTTCATGCACAAATTACAAAAGGAGCCCTCTTGCTGATAATAAAAGCTAGCACAGTCATAGAAAACCCTCTCGGCCCTCATTCTCCTCAAGGGCCACAGAGAGGAAGGAGAGAGGGAGGGGTGAACTTATTAGGATAAAACACAGCCAGAGTCCCCCCACAGGCCCTTGACATTGACCCCACACAAAGCCCATGCCTCTCCCTTGTGGGAACTAAAAAATGTCTCTGGCTGTCTGAGCTGGCGAGGGAAAGCGTCTGGGGGCAGGCAGCCCTGGGGACCCAGCAGTGCCTCGTGGGCAGTGGTGCGGGGGGCCTGGGACCTCCATCCTCACTTCAACTACAGCAGACCTGCTTCCTTCTTTGATGTCTGAAAATCCATGCTGTAGGCCCATCTGCTCATTCTAGATGGGGAAATTGAGTCCCTGGGAGGAAAACTGTCACTCAGCTACTCAGTGTACTCAACTGGGACAAAATTTCACATCTCCTGCCTCCAGCCCAGTGCTCTTCTCTGCAACCGCAGTTTGGGTGGGGCAGCGCCCCCCCGCGGAGCCCTTCGTTGGTGCATCCCAGGGGCTGGCTCTGCTCCAGTGCACACAGACCATGGGCCTCCAGGAAATGAAAACCCAGAGACCACAAAACAGAGAGAAAGAGAGATGCTCTTTGGTGCCCTGTGCTCCATCACCAGGAGCAAAGGGGGCAGCACAGGATCTTCTGAGTCTGGGATGTCTCATTCCCGACAGGCCCACACTGCGTGGTCCAGCCTCTTCTTTCTACACCCTCCCAGGCGCGGCTGTGATGCCTCCTCCCTCGCCCTCTCCAGCTCTGGCAGGCCCCTCTGCTGACTTGGCACTTGGTACAGGTGACAGCAGAGGGGCATCTTAGGATGGACTGAAGTTTTCAAGTCAGCACAAAAGGTACCAATCCCCATAGCCTAAATCACCCTTGCCAATACAGGGGTTAGAGGAACTTGTTCTGTGACACCGTGAAGAAACAGACAAATCCAGCATGTGGGACTTCTATAGGACAGCAGCCTGCTAGCCTCCGAAATAATGTCACTCAAACAACCAGAGTGAGCAGAAGGGAAAGTTTACTGACTTGAAAGAGATTTTAGGAAACACAGTTCGATGCAACATGTGTACCTTAACTAGTTCCCGATTCCAAAACCAGGTGTAAGTTATTTGGGAGAACTGTGAATATGGGTTGATTAGCAGATGTTGCTGGGAAATTACTGTTGTGATACTGGGTGTGATACTGGGCCAATTGTAGGAGAATGTCCTAGCTCTTAGGAGATGCAGGCTGAAGCATTTGGGGTGGAGTCTCCTTCTGTTTGCAACTTTTAAACTAGTTCAGAGAAAATATGCTTGTACGGAAGGAAAGATTAAAATGTGGCAAAACACTAATTTTAAGTCTGAATGGTGGGCAGTGGGAGCTCATGATAAAATATTTGGTACAACACTTACTTATTTACTTGCTCTTTCTCCTAACAAACCTGTGGGGACGGCTCGATGTTGGGACCAGCAATCTCTGCGAGTCAACCTAGTGGTATTCTTCTACTGGGAACAGACCACTGCTCCCTCAGCTGGGCCCCAGAGGCACCGGCTGCTCCTACGTAGGGGCTCGAAAGAGACCAGTCTTTAAACCTCAGACTCCTTCTCCAGGTGCAAGATGCCCGCACTGTGGGCAGCTCTAGAGCCCCGAGTGACGGAGGCAGCTGCACATCCCACCTGCACCGAGCTTGAGGCACAGGTGTGTGGAGGAGATGGCAGAAGGGATGGTAGAGGTTTTTTTCTTGTTTTTGGCCAGTGACTTAGTAAACGTGGAAGATGCTGAGGATACTGCACCCACTGACCTCTGGTTTTCTCCTCTCGTGGTGGTGGTGGTGGTGGTGGTGGTGGTGGTGGTGGGGAATCTGTGTGCTCAGCAGCTGAGAGAACCTAGAGGGACTTCTCTCCTCTCCCCAGTACCTACCGGTCCTGGAAGTGGGTTCTCGAGAGAGATTCGTTAGTGGGAAGGGAAAAAGTAGCAGTGACAAGACAGACTGAGAACATGTGACAGGTCAAGTCCCCAGCCTCCCAGAAGGGCCTGGACAAAAGTCTCCAGCATTTCCTCTGCTACCACAGGGCCTCAAACCTGCCTGTTTCTTCCTCAGGCCAGAGGACGAGGGGAGCGGACCTGCCCGCCCCACGAGGACAGGCTCTGGGCAGCCTGCCCAGGTGTCCAGGCCCAGAGGGAAGATCTCAGATGGTGGGAGCTGTGACATCCTCACGGGTCATGCAGCAGAGCCCCGCGCTGACAGACGGGAAGTGAGGCCCAGGTTTTGCACTATGGAAGCTGCTGCCCGCTCTGGGAGTCTGGTTCCTGGTGCAGGTAAGTCTTCACAAGCGTACACGCAGACATGCCACCCTGTCCTCAGACACTCTGCTTCTCATCCCCTGCAGGGTTAGCAGCAACCAGGGTTCCCGGGTTCTAAGGCCCCAATGAGAAGCATGATGGAAACGCTTCACTCGGGAGGCAGTAGAGCCAGATGCAGCTGGCCCTGTAGGACATTCCACTTCTCCATCCCAGTGGAGACCCTGGGAACTAAGATCCAGGCTCCCAGGCTGGGAAAGAACCTTTTGAGGTGGGGAGAGCACGACAGGGATGCAAATGCAGATCTGGAACTGAGAAGGCTCAAAGGCACCCTGGCTGGGAAGGAGTGGTTTGTCCCCATATCCTGGAATGACCAAGGGCGTGACTAAAGGAGGGACAGCAACCTGGCACAGAGTAGGGTCCCAAGGACGGGCTCAGAGGCAGTGTGGCACTGGAAGAAGAGCACTGGGCGCGGCATTGGGAGCCTCGAGTTCAATTCTTGGCCCTGCTCCCAATCGGTTCTGTGACATCAGCCCCGGAGGCCACCTCCCATTTCTGGACCTGTGTCCACACCCATTGAAGGACCCTTCAGCCCCAACATGGTAGAGTCTTCTGAACAAGACAAGGCTCTCCAGAAAGGATTTCCCAGGCGTCAGTTCAAAGCTGAACTGGCAGTGGGAGGGGCTGGGGAAAGGCACCCCAGCCTTAGTCACTTCACATTGTTAAAAGATGGGGGCGGGAGGGGTGGGTAGGAGCAGGCCCCAACCAGAAAATAGCCCAGAGACACCCCCCCCCCTTGTCGGCAGGGGGCCTGGAGACAGTTCTGTGGCTCCCAGGGCAGCTCCCAACCTAGCACCATGTGAGGGGAAGGGGAACAGGCCAGCCTTTAAGCCCCGGGGTCTCCTACCCCAGCCTGGCTGTTTCCTTTGGCCAAAAGTGCCCCAGGGTCACCGCGCTTCATGAAGCCAGATCTCCTGGAAAGAGTAGGTCTTCCTTATGCATCCCGCCACCTGTTCACCTGGGGCAGCCCCGGGGCGGCCATGGCACTTGCCCTCTCCCAGGGCACTTCCATGCTGTGTCCTTGAGGCCTCCGCACATGAACACGGCCCCCCCCCCCTTCCATCCCATTCTCTAGCACTGAGATACGACGCCCTTTGGGACTGGGGCCTGCCACCATTTTGTACGACTGAATTAAAAACAAACCCAACCAAAAAAAATATAATATATATATATATATATATATACATGTTATATATATATATGTAACACAGTGCGACCCCAGCACCCAGGGTATAAACTCTGGCACCAAGAAAAAAAAATATTAAAATACTTTAGCTTCTTAGTATTTGGGAGGTTAAGGGGCTCTCTAGAAACCCTTGGCCACAGGCAGCTGGCGCAGAGCAGGGATGGCAGTCTCATCAAGTCTGCCCAGCATCTGCCAGGGGCCAAGGCCAGGGGGACTTAGGGACAACATATGTACACTGGGACACGTATACGGCCGACTCCACGACCGCCTCAGTCCTTTACCACAGGAAACACCACACATGTCATATCCCAGGGGGAAGAACGGGGTAGGGTTGAGGCCTGGGTCTCTGGGTCCAAATGCGTGGCAGTGCCCCAGGGCCCTGAAGGAGGCCTTTAGGACTGGGTGGGTACTGTAGGAACCAGCGATTCTTTCTCTAAAGAGGGAAGGTGAGATGGGAAGGTATGAAGCAGAATGGGTGTGGAGGTCCAGCGTTCTCTCGAGCTGGACACGCTCACACCCAGCCTAGGGACCACCTCTGGGTTCCCAGCTGACCCCTCTGAAGAGCCTGGCTTGAACCATCACGGAAACGTCCAATCTCTCTCCCTGGTTTGGCAAAAGCCCCAGCTGGGCTCTTCTCCTCGTTGTCTGGAGGACAGGGAAAATACTACTGAGTGGACACCCTACTGGAGCAGGGAGTGATGGGATGGAGAGGGTAGGGTGGGTGGAACACAGGGACGGAAAACAGAGTCCTGTGGACTGCTTCCTACCAGCTTGTGGTCTTCCACCAACAGGAAGTGGCCTCCCCGTGAAAAACTATGAGCAGAATGGACCCTGGTTGGCGAAGGAGGTCCTAGAGGCCACCAACCCAGCACTGGACGCTCTGAGGTGCGTGTGGACCTGCCTGGGCTCTTCTCCTGGCCCTACCTGGGCTGCAGCAGAGTATTGCTTGTAAGTACTTGGCCAGCCCGGGCCCAGCTCCCCACTCTGCAGGTCAGTCTGGCTCAGCGTGTGGCGGGACGTCCCTGCCGTCACATTCAGTCTGGCTGTGGTGGCCGTGGCTACCTGGTGTTCTGGAGCTCCTCCCGTAGCCAGGTGGGCAGTGTCTGGCCCATCTTGTACAGCAGCTTGGAAAGCTCGATGTTGTGGTCCCGGTAATAGTCCTTCAGGAAGGCGCGGGACTGTAACAGGAAGGAAAGCTCAGATCTTGGTCATGTGCTGACTCAAGAGTGACCCCCCCCTTCTTTAAAAACCACCATTCTGTTGGCATCATCCCACACTCCCATTATTTATTCACAATCTTCTTCAAAATCACAACCTTCAAAAGAAAACTCATATAGTAGGAGCACCAAAATACAGCACACAAGGTCAAAATTCTTGTGATTGACAGGGAGAAGAGAGAGAATTAAAACCAGGGGCAAACAAGAAAAGGGAAACATAGTATTTTGTTGAGGATTTTTGCATCTATGTTCACTAGTGATACTGGCCTGTAATTTCCTTTTTTTGTGGTATCTTTGTCTGGTTTTGGTATCAGAGTGATGGTGGCCTCGTAGAATGAGTTTGGGAGTGTTCCTTCCTGTGTAATTTTTGGGAAGAGTTTCAGAAGGATAGGTGTTAACTCTTCTCTAAATGTTTGATAGAATTCACCTGTGAAGACATCTGGTCATGGACTTTGGTTGGGAGTTTTTTAATCACTGTTTCAATTTCAGTACTTGTGATTGGTATGTTCATATTTTCTATTCCTTTCTGGTTCAGTCTTGGAAGATTGTACCTTGCTAAGAATTTGTCCATTTTTTCTAGGTTGTCCATTTTATTGGCATATAGGTGCTTGTCATAGTCTCTTAGGATCCTTTGTATTTCTGTGGTGTCAGTTGTTACGTCTCCTTTTTCATTTCTAATTTCATTGATTTGAGTCCTCTCTTTTTTAAAAAAACTTTTATTTTTTATTTTTGGCTGTGTTGGGTCTTCGTTGCTGTGCGTGGGGCTGTCTCTAGTTGCAGCGAGCCGGGGCTACTCTTCATGGTGTTGCGCAGGCTTCTCACTGCGGTGGCTTCTCTTGCTGCGGAGCACTAGCTCTAGGTGCCTGGGCTTCAGTAGTTGCAGAGCACAGGCTTCGTTGGTCCGCAGCATGTGGGATCTTCCCGGACCAGGGCTTGAACCCATGTCCCCTGCATTGGCAGGTGGATTCTTAACCACTGCGCCACCAGGGAAGCCCTCCTTTTTTTCTTGGTGAGTCTAGCTAAAGGTTTATCAATTTTGTGTATCTTCTCAAAGAACCAGCTTTTAGCTTTATTGATCTTTGCTATTGTTTTCATCTCTATTTCTGCTCTGATCTTTATCCTCAACAAAATACTAGCAAACTGAATCCAACAATACATTTAAAGGAGCATGATCAAGTGGGATTTATCCCAGGGATGCAAGGATTTTTCAATATCTGCAAATCAATCAATGTGATACACCATATTAACAACTTGAAGAAGAAAAACCATATGATCATCTCAATAGATGCAGAAAAACCTTTTGACAAAATGCAACACCCATTTATGATTAAAAACTCTCCAGAAAGTAGGCATAGAAGGAACCTACCTTAACATAATAAAGTCCATATATGAAAAACCTACAGCTAACATCATTCTCAATGGTGAAAAGCTGAAAGCATTTCCTCTAAGATCAGGAACAAGACAGTGATGTCCACTCTCACCATTTTTATTCAACATAGTTTTTAGAAGTCCTAGCCACGGCAATTAGAGAAAAAGAAGAAATAAAAGGAATCCAAATTGGAAAAGAAGAAGTAAAACTGTCACTGTTTGCAGATGACATGATACTATACACAGAAAATGCTAAAGATGCTACCAGAAAACTACTAGACCTCATCAATGAATTCGATAAAGTTGCAGGATACAAAATTAATACACAGAAATCTCTTGCATTCCTATACACTAACAAACAATGAAAGATCAGAAAGAGAAATTAAGGAAACAATCCCATTTACCATCGCATCAAAAAGAATGAAATACCTAGATGTAAGGCCGGATACTATAAAACTCTTAGAGGAAAACATAGGCAGAACACTCTCTGACATAAATCGCGGCAAGATCTTTTTTGACCCACCTCCTAGAGTAATGAAAATAAAACCAAAAATAAACAAATGGGAACTAATTAAAAGCTTTTGCACAGCAAATGAAACCATGAACAAAACAAAAAGACAACCCTCAGAATGGGAGAAAATATTTGCAAATGAAGCAACCAACAAAGGATTAATCTCCAAAATATATAAACAGCCCATGCGGCTCAATATCAAAACAACCCAATCAAAAGCTGGGCAGAAGCCATAAATAGACGTTTCTCCAAAGAAGACATACAGATGGCCAGAGGCACATGAAAAGATGCTCAACATTGCTAATTATTAGAGAAATGCAAATCAAAACTACAATGAGACAGCCCCTCACACCAGTCAAAATGGCCATCATTAAAATATCTACAAATGACAAATGCTGGAGAGGGTGTGGAGAAAAGGGAACCTTCCTACACTGTTGGTGGGAATATAAATTGGTGCAGCCACTACGGAGAACAGTATGGAAGTTCCTTAAAAAACTAAAACTAGATCTATACAATATGATCCAACAATCCCCTCCTGGGCATATATCCAGAAAAGACAAAAACTCTAATTTGAAAAGATACATGCACCCCAATTTAATAGCAGCACTATTTACAATAGTCAAGATGTGGAAGCAACCTAAGTGTCCATCAACAGATGAACGGATAAAGAAGATGTGGTGTATATATATATATATATATACACACACACACACTATAAAATACTCAGCCATTAAAAAGAATGAAGTATTGCCATTTGCAGCAATGTGGATGGACCTAGAGAATATCATACTAAGTGAAGTAAGTCAGACAGAAAGACAAATACCGTATGATATCACTTATATGTGGAATCTAAAGAATAAATCTATTTACAAAACAGACTCAGAAAACAAACTTATGGTTACCAAAGGGGAAAGGGAAGGGGGAGGGACAAATTAGGAGTATGGGATTAACAGGTATACTGCTATATATAAAACAGATAAGCAACAAGAATTTACTGTATACCACAGGGAACAAGAAACTACCACAATATTATAAATCAACTATACTTCAGTTTTTAAAAAATTATCAAGGGGTAATGGAAAAAAAAGGGAAATGTAACCAGAGTCACAGTGTGTGCCCTTTCCCCTATATCCTTATACATGCCATCCCCTCCTACAAGAATGCCTTATCCTTCCATGCCATAGGTCCAAATACCACCCCATCCTTCCAGACCCAACTCGAGAGACACCCGCCCACCCCCCCACCTCATCTGAGAAGCCTTCTTACCCATCCAACTTCAAGTGGCATGTCCTTGTTCTGAAGTCTCACAGCACTTGTTCATACCTAACTACACAAAACACTTCCTCCCTTGTATTCTACTTATTGGCACATGTGACTCATTTCCCTCCTAGACTAGGAGCTCCTTGAAGGCAAAGAGCAGGTCTGATTCATTCTCAAAGCCCCATTGCATTCAGCCCTTGTAGAAGAAATACTCATTTGACTAAATCAATTCTGATCCACTATATCCCCTAGCCCACATTTCCTCCTGTTAAGAACACCACCCAAGAAATGCCAAGACCATTGAGTGCTGGGTGTCAGGTAAAGAGAAGACTCCCTCCAGTACAGGGACCCCCAACATTTATTCCCCTGCCGCAGGCAGCAGGTCTGCTACTTACATCCAAGTCCATCTCTGGGTATTTCCGGCCCTTGCTTTTGCCTAGACACTTGGTTTTTCCTCCTTCGAGCAGCTGGCACCAAAATCCTTTCTTTGGATCAAACCTGTGAAGGTGGGGAAAGCCTGTGGGTGGGAGCTGGCCCGGCCGAGCCCAGCCCCTTCCCACTTCAGGCAATGTTCACAGACCTCAGGAATGGCAGAGCCTCCTAGAAAATCACAGGATCCACTCCCATAGGCAAACTCTGGTCTGTGGGACTGATACTTGCATCTGTTTGCCCAAGCTCTGGCTCTGGGCTCCACTAAACACACCTGCCCCCTCTTCCCAGCAGAAGGCGGGCCGCACGCTCTGAGATCTCTCTTCTCCTGACTGGGCAGGCTCAGTTGCTGCAGCAAGTCCCTAACATGAACACTTCCCATCCTTCCTTATTCTGGAGGTCCTCTTAGCACTCTCCAGCTCAGGGGTGAGAACCCAGTAGGGGGAAAAAAGTTTAGTGGAGGTTCTTTTGCTTTTTAATAAATTCAATCTTTATCAAGAAATGCTGTATCTACAGTTGCCTTTAAGCATGTGCATCACTGGAAAGTTGTGGTTTTTTTCTAGTGAATTTCAGAAATGATAGAGCAAGACTGCCTTCAGAATTGAAGTCATGCTGGACCTTCAAAGGTATTTTGGGGAGAGGAGATCTGATGCTGTCATGGGGAGGAGAGGCATAATGGCATCAGAATTCAGTCCCAGATCAGGAACCATTAGGAGGTTCTTGGGCATGAGGACAGAAGGAAAACACAGTTCACATTTGGCAGGAGAGGGAGATAGGGATTTTTGAATGGGTCCCAGGGTAGGCACATGTGATGGTAATGGTGGTGGTGATGATGATGAGAGTAGCTATCATTTACTGAGATTAGTACATCCCGGGCACTGAGCCAAGAGCCCCACCCACATGCTTTCATTCAAGACAGTGACCCTCCGGAGGTGGGAATTATTACCTTTATCCCCAACTTACGGAGAAGGAAAGTGAGGCTTGAAGGAACTACGACACATGTCCGAGGCCCACAGTTAAAGAAGAGGTCTGGGATCCTAACCCAGGCATCTCTACTGCCACAGCCATACCCGCAGCTGCTGCTCCTTTCTACCCTCAAAGGGAAGGACTTGACTACCGTTTTCCACCTTCCGTTTTCAACTTCCAAAGTAAGGAGAAGGGAATATTCTTGCTGAAGGGCTTTCCTAAGAAGGTAGCTGGGGAAGGTGACTGTTTCTCCTTCTCTTGAGACTCCCTCATTCAGATGAGTGTGTCACCTGTCTGTGATATACCCTAGGAGACAGCCTCTCCCCAGCCCTGAGCCCCCTCAACACAGGCTGGCACTTATCCATCTTGGGACAGCGTTCTCAATGCACTTGCACTGGGTTTTGAGTGATGGGAATGATTAGTCAATGACAATATTTATAGTATCTTTTTCCTTAAATTATATTGAAGTCATAATCTAATGATAAGAAACCCTTGTGGGAACTGGAATTGCTCATTGCTGGTCTAACTTACTTAGGTAAAACACTGAAAATGTTCAGCCCAGAGTGAAAAGAACACTCCAGGTGTAGGACTGACCAGAGTAGAACAGAGTCATCACCTCCCTTTTTCCTGAGTCAATATCTTTATTAATATGACTCAAGTCACGTTAACTTTCCTGCTAGACTGCCATCAGGGACATGCGTACTTCCTCACATTTGCTGACTAATCTGTGTTTTTCTCCTAATCATTCAAGCCTTTGGCTTTTGGGCCCAGGTGCCTGCTCAGGACATCCCCCCGTTGAAAGGCCAGGGTAACACTCACGCCAAGGTTTTGTGGTAGTCAATGGTGTTCGTCACCCCAAGGAACTTTTGCACTGTGTCCATCACTTTGGCAGGTTCCGTTCGCAGCAGTTTGCCATCCAAGACCAGAATCTGGAAAAAAAGCAAAAGGAGAGTGTGATCTGAACCTGTTTTCACTCCAGTGGCAAACAGGCCCCCAGTCTTCTGGGTCAGCAGCCATGGTTATAAATTGGGGACCCCACACTCTGTAGACTGCTTCTTCCTCCACCTGTGGATGGGAGGTGCCCCCATGCCTCAGTCCTGGGCAGTCTAACTAACTCCCTGCTTTCTGCCAGCTTCCTCTGACCAATGCCATCCTCTCCTAGGGTTTAGGCTATCGGCAAAACCCTGCCTGCCCCTCATATCCCTATGACACCCCCTCTCTGCCTCTCTCCAAGTTTTTGGACCACATGTCACTCTCCTGCCTAAATCCTCCAAGGGTTTCCCTAAAATGCCTCAGCAGTCTGGCCCCATCTACCTCTGCAACCAGGCTCTCCCCCCGTCACACACGCCTGTCTCCCTCACTCCCAGGGGCCTATCCCAGAGCTTTTTGGGTCCCCTTAGGGATAAAGAGCCTGTTGTGATGGGACAAGGGCTTGGGATAAACAAGACTGAAACCTTTGAAGGCCCCAAAGATCTAACTCTCCAATGACACCATGTCTGGCCCTGTAACTGGTAAAAGAGATTTTGAGGCGCTCTGCTAACCGCCCAGAGCCAGGGCCGTGATTGCCCTCCCGAGGGTCAGGGACAGGCAGCTACCTGGTTGGCGTGAAAGGCGCTGAGCCAGCGCTCAATGTGGGTGGCATACCAGCCGGGGACCAGGCAGCGGTTCTGGAGGGCGCGCAGTTTCAAGGATGCATCGGGCGCAGCTGTGATCACCTCGTGGAAGGTGTACTTCAGGGCTACTGGGTCATCATGGGCTCGCTGGTGCTGCAGACGAGGGGAGAGAGAGGGTCAGCATGTCACGTGGAGGGACCAAGGGCAGAGGGACAGAAACCAGGAGGCAGCCAGAAGACCCTGAGCTGGAACCAGGAGCCCTGGGTTCAAGTTCTGGTTCTACCTGTCATTACCCTGTGACTTCAGGGAAGTCATAGCCCCTGGGAGCCCTAGTTTCCCCATCTCTGAGAGATGGGAGTTGGACTAGATCAGAGCTTCCAAATGCTGGTTGCTTCACACCACCTCTGTGATTTCTGCCATATCCATAAACCACCTGTACGTGACAAGTCAACGTAAGTTTCTTTGCATTGAATCATCTTTCTTATTCACGTAAATGTATTTCAAAATAAAACTCAATACTGTCTCCATAAATAGAAAATTAGAATCAGTTGTCATATATAAAGGTAATCATTCATAAATACAATAAAAATAAAGCAATGTTCTCAAACACCAGGCAGATAACAAATGTCTGCTACAGGTCCTGATACAGTCATGAGGGTGGGGCCCCTGTGATGGGATTGGTGCCCTTGTAAGAAGAGGCACCAAAGTTTGCTTGCTTGCTCTGCCATGTGAGGACACAGAAGGTGGCTGTCTAAAAGCCAGAAAGAGAGCTCTCACCAGGAACCAAATCGACTGTCACCTTGATCTTGGATTTAGACTTCTAGGCTCCAGGACCGTGAGAAAAAAATTCTGTTGTTTAATCCACCCAACCTATAATATTTTGCTATGGCAACCCAAGCAGTCTAAGACAGAAGGATTGGGAAAGAATTGGAAAGGGGAAAACACCAGGTTTGAACCACCTAAAATAATGCCACGGGCAGTCGGCATCTGCATAATTCCCAAGTCCAGAGATCAGGAACCTGTCCACCAGGGGTAACCCTCAAGAGCCCCTCCACCTCCACTGAGGATCACAGAGCTCGGGTGGGGGAGGTGCAATAATGGTGCATAACAGCTCCCCCTCCTGACCTCCCCTCTGAGGCAGGCCACTGTCCTACCTCTCCCTCCAGCACCTTCCTGGATCCTCCTGGTAGGAATTAGTCCCCCTTCTCCTTATCCCACCTCGACCATGGATAGAAGAAAGAACAGGGTCTTAGACCTCGAGGAGCTGGGTTCAAAATGGCAGCACATGAACTTGAGCTAGTCACCTGGCTTGCTGAACCTTGGTCTTCTCATCTATGCGAGGGGACATGCACAAAGCCCTCTGCCCTCTAGAAAACTGCCGTGACGTTCCAATGAGGTGAAGAGGTAGAGCAGGAGCATTAGAACAGAATGGGGACGGACTTCAGCCAGGGCCACTTTCCCTCTACAGCCTTCTCCTTCCTCTTTCCTTCCCCCGATAAGAGCAGACAGCCAATCTCTGCTCATTGCCAGGAGGTGGGGAACACTCGGCAGAGCAGAAAAGAGAAGTGGCCTTTATTCCCCCAAAGACAAAGCCCAGAGGGAAGGAGAATACCGAGGTATAGACAGAAAGTCCTAGAGAAGCAAGTGGAGGAGAGAGATTGCCCACCAGACGAGGAGGGTCCCCAGGCTTGGGGAGTGAGAAGAGAGAGAGAGGTCTGTGGGAACAGGGAGCAAAGAGGGTCTGCACCTGCCTCCTACCAGCCTGTGGCCACAATGAGGCCCCAGAGAGGAGGCTCAGAGGGTGGCCAGACCTAGAGGGGCCTTCCTTGATCGGCTCTAGACGAGGAAGCCCCACACCCTGGCACTGTGGCATAATCCTAGGAAGACTGGCAGGCAGGGGAGGAAAACCCCCAAACGGCCAGAGCCTAAGCTTTCCTGTAAGCCCAGTGGAATGCTGTTCAGAAAAAATTAAGTCAGGTCATTGAAATTAAAGAAAATTCTAGTTCTTACATAGTCAAGTAGGAACTAGGAGTCACACTCTCTAGCACAAACCGCATTCCACGTAACTTCCTTACCTGATCGAGCATTTGCATTCTCCACTAAGAATGGCAGGTCCTGTGTCTTGTCCTTCTCTGATGTCCCACCCCCCTTCCACCCCGTGCCCAGCAAGGAGGCCACAGTTAGTATGAGCCCAGATCACTGTTCACCGAATCTAGGCTTCATCAAGATGGAATCAGCCTCCACCTCTTGTTGGTGTCAGAGTCAGAGGCAGGTCCCCAGACGAAGCTGGGAGGGTGAGCAGGTAACTCGGCTGGTATTCAACATGGATTTCTGCCTGGCTTCTCCTCCGGGCTAGAAGTGCAGTGGAGGCGGGACCATTCTTACCCACCACGGCATTCCAGGAGCCTACTGAGGGCTGGCACAAAGGAGGCGCAAAATAAATATTTGCTGAGGGACTTCCCTGGTGGCCCAGGGGTTAAGAATCCGCCTGCCAATGCAGGGGACACGGGTTCGAGCCCTGGTCCAGGAAGATCCCACATGCCGCGGAGCAACTAAGCCCGTGCGACACAACTACTGAGCCTGTGCTCTAGAGCCCGTGAGCCACAACTACTGAAGCCCAAGCGCCTAGAGCCCGTGCTCCGCAACGAGAGAAGCCACTGCAATGAGAAGCCCATGCACCACAATGAAGACCCAACACAGCCAAAAATAAATAAATAAAATTTAAATAAATAAAATTTAAATAAATAAATAAATTTTAAATAAATATTTGCTGGTATTTATTGGTGGCTGAGCGGTAGACAGAGCCCGTACCCCCACCCAGGGCCCCACCCCGGCTCACCTGGTACCAGGAATAGGCTCGGTCTGCTGGGTTGATGAGGATGGTCAAGACCTTGGCCTTGGGTAACAGGGCAGTCGCCCGCCGGGGAGCCACTTCCGAATCAAAGTAGTTGGCGCTTTTCTCAAAGTAGAAGTCAGAGGTGGTGTTGGAGGGGATAGGGAAGAACTCCATGTACCTAGAGGAAGCCCAGAGAGCAGGGCTCGCAGGCAAGACCCAGGATGAAGGGGCCTGAGGGATGCAGCTGGGAGGGCCGCGGTGGCTGGGGGTGGAACTTGAGAAAGCAAGCAGGCACATGGCTCTCAGTCAAACAAGGACTCACTTCTGGCAGGGGTCCTAGACGGAGTGGTCACTTGGCAGTCTCCCTTTTATGAATTCATTCCTTTTTCGGGGAGACTCTGGGGTCAGGAGGATGTGAAGACTTGTGGGTGTGGTATGGGTGGCAGGGTATGGGAAGAGGGCTGCATCTTTCCATCCTAAATGGGATGGTCCCAGAGTGAAACTGGCAGGGCCCTAACTCTCACTGCCGCTAGGGGGCAAGCGGGGATGCCTCTGAGCTGGGGACGCCAGCACTGAGGGGAGGGACGCCCTCTGCTGCCTCCAGACTGACCTCTGATGGTGCTTTCTAAGCTGCTACTGTGGACCAGGAGACAAGGCGGGGACGGGGTTCACCTCCTGCCACCCATACCCCCTCACCGGCCTCATACGGGTGAACCTGATAGCTTCCCAGATGAACCTCCCACATTACACCCAGAGTGACTGTCCACACCAGTCCTTTGAGATCACCTGTAGGTTGAGGGGCCCTCAGAAAACTAAGTGAACACTCCAGACCCTCCCAGGAGCACCTACTGAGGCAAAATAGAGGTACAACTTCAGGGGTTTGAGGGAACCAAACCCCACAAAGCCTACCCCAGTTAAGGACGTAGGATCCCTACTCTATCCTGTGAGATAGGGTTTCTCTTAGGTGGTCCCAGGGACCCCTTTATCAGAAATCAGAATCACCTGGGGGCTTGTGAGATTTCTGCACCCCTACAAACAAAATCTTGAGAATGGAGCCGAGAAACTGCTAGCTCTCTCACATTTCTGAATTTTCTCTACAAAATAGCATTTTTACGTCCACGATCCATCGTTTGTTATATCTAAATGGAGAAAGCTCTGAGAAAGAAGCTTTTTTCCTAAGTTTGTAGCAAAGACATTTGGCAGCAAAACCGGACTTATGAATCTTACTTGGCATAAATATTGACATACTTTGCTACAGATATATTAATGTATTTGCTAATGGGCACAGCCCCAGACCTTGGTGAAGGTGCTGTTAAATATACTGTGTCTCTCTAAATCCGGAAAGAGATGACTTTCAATAATGCATCTGGCTACAGTGGGTTTTAGATAAGAGATTGTGGCAATATTGGAGCGAGAAATAGACAGGTAGATTGACAGACAGATGATTGGTTAATTGAAAGACAGCTAGAAAAGAGACGGATGGAAATACACACAGAAAAATACCACAACACAAACAGAAGAATGCCCATGATCTCTCTACTCAGGTAAACCACTGACATAAAAATAATAAACAAGAGTAATACATGTGTTACAACCGCTGGTGACAGGTTCTGGTGAGAATCTGCAATTTCAACCACCTCCCCAGGAGACTCCCTGAAGGCTAGAAAGCCACCTCGGAAGGGCTCACAAGAACACCTCCTGCTCCACAGTCAGCCATCCACAGTGGGAAGGGCCAGCCTTCGGGTCAGAACCCTTGGATTTCAGCCCCAGCTCTCGGGACCTCGGGCATGTTCCTCTTCTCCTCTGGGACTCAGGGTGTTTCTGTGCAGGCGAGGGAGGGGCTGGACTTTGATTTCTAGTATTCTCAGAGCCCAGGCAATAATGTAAAGGGGCAAAGGGCTTCCTCATCAACTATCCCATCTGTGACCAGGCTCCAGCATCATGACTCAAGGGTCACCGTGTTTTGTCCCTGTTTACAGGAACTAGCTGTGTGTAAGCGAGCGCCAGCTGCTTCCTGCTGTGGCCACAGCAGACCTCCTCCTGGGCAAACTCCATGGTGACCATCCCATCCCACTGTTGACAGAAAGGCCCACTCACCAGTCGATGCCTTTGTGATAGTTGTGGCCATTAAAAAACTGGATCTCCTCAAAGGTCTCAGAGCTGGGGTAGTTGCTGCTGAGGTCGGGGTGCATGCCCAGGAACAGGTAGAGGGCCGTGGTGCCTGCGGGGAGGGAAGGTAGGTGAGACCTGGGCCCAGCACGCCAACACAAAGATGGAGTCTGAAATTCTGGGTTCTGGTCCTGGCTCTCCATTACTCACTGGGAGATACTGGAAAAGTCCCTTCCCTTCTCTGGGTTTAGTTTCCTCATCTCTACCATGAAGGAATCATACTAAACTCAGGATGGACAAATACATGGCTTGAACGTGGGCGCGCCAACGCCTGCATCCACTGCAGACATCACTAAACCATCACAGCATTCTTCATCACTAAACAAAGACTTGGCCTCAGAATCCTCTCACCACTATACTCCAGCAGTCATGTCCACTGGATTACTGTCTCCTCATAATCCAGGAATTAGACGGTTTCTGCTGGTCCCTCTGGCTCTGGGCCTCTGTGCTCTCTGGCACTTGGGAGGAACTCAAGGACAAGGGAGTTCCAGACTCTCCAGTGTGCTGATATGAAATTCTTGAAGGGCTAAGAAATCTGGCTCAGATGCCTCCTCTTTGGGTACCCTTCCTTCACTCATACTCCCTCCCCTAATTGACAGTACAGGACCGACCCCCTCCTTTAGAGAGTTCATTCCTTTCCTACATGTGAGTCTACAGTTAATATGCTATAATGAGAGGTTCCAGAAGAGATGGAGACTACAGAGTTTGGTGATCAAGAGTATAAGTTTTGGGGTCACAGAGACCAGGGTTCCAGACCTGGATCTGCCATTTCCTAACTAAATGTGTTAGGGAAATCACTTAACTTCTCTGAGCCTTGAGTGTTTTGTCTGTAACATGGGAGTACCCGTCCATGCCATATAGTGCACATGGTAAATACTTAGCAACCATCTCTTCTCTGCTCCCTCCTGTACCTCTGGCAGACGTGACTAATTGATCACAGTCTTCTTTGCTCTGAACCAGTTTTGCCTGGCACTGCTCCAACATGCAGAGTAGCCGATCTGGGCTTCTCTGATTTTACTCTGAGACTCCCAGCAGGACACAGGGAGAGCTCCCTGAGTCTGTGGTTCAGGACAGATAGGAGAATCCAATGCCCATCCTCTATCCTCTTCCCACCTCCACACTGATGGGCAATTCATGTTCACCCCAGCTTCACTCTCACTTCCTGGGAAAGAGGGGGCAGATTACTGGGGAGTGGGACTAGGGCATGGTGGCCCCCAGAATCCTGTGGCTGAGAGAGCAGGCACTGGGGGAGGCTGGTCAAGAATGGAGAGACCTGCCTGTTTTCTGGGGGCCAATGATGAGGAGCTTTGGGAAGCGGTCACACGTCTTCTCCTTGGACCAGATGTCTTTATGGCGTTTGTCTTCACAGGGATCCTAAAACAACAGGGGAAGAGATGTCAGGGGTGCCCAAGAATGGACACTGGACTCCCACTGCACATGGATATGTGGCTCTTACAGCCCTGAATGACAAGTGTAACTGCATGTGCCCTTGTCACATCCCCATCTCAGGACACTGAACGGCTGGCAGGCAGCGACCATTTCTAGTCAGTCTCACGCTCCCAGACATAGCCTAGTAAAATGCTCAGCACAACACTTGGCTCACGAGCTCCTATTGTTGAATTTAAAAGTTCAGCAAGGGGTCAGCAAACTTTCTCTATAAAGTTTAGTAAATCTTTTGAAATGTTTAGTAAATATTGTATTTTAGGCTTGGGTACTATCCGGTCTGTTGCAACTACTCAGCTCTGCTGTTGTAGCTTGAAAGCAGCCACAGATGGTACGTACAAGAATGAGTGTGGCCATGTTCCAATAAAACTTTATTTACAAAAACAGACTGCAGGCCAGACTGGCTCACAAGCCATGGTTTGTGGACCCCTGAGACCATCAATTCCAGCTTCTGCTTCCAGTTTTTTACAGCGCCCTGGGGCAACTTCCCCAAGAACTGTCCCCCAAGCCCTCTGATCAGTCCCCTTTCCCATGCTCAGAGCCTGCTGGAGTGAGAAGGTACATGCCAGGCAGGGCAGCTGCTTTCCACACTTGTGTACACTGTGTTCACCTACAGTTCTGTGGTGCTGTTTTTCAGAGGTGAGTATGCATGCACACAGGTCTGCATGGAAGGTCTAGTGTGCACAAGAACAAGCAAGCATGCCCACGCTGGTGAGCAAGTGTGCCCCTGAGTTTACACTTGAGAGAGCATGAGGGCCTGAGGACTGAGTCCCTGAGACCATACCTGGGGTGCATGCCCGTGGGTGGTAGGCTTTCCATCCCTGCAATGAGGCACCCAGGCCACCCATCCCACCCACCTGCCAGAGCGGGTCCTTCTCCTCAGAGAAGATCTGGAAGTACTTCTGGGCCAGCTGCACCGGGGGCAGTGTCTGCAGCCGGAGGTTGGTCCAAGAGTGCAGGAAACGCACCAGGTGCTTGAAGGTGTATAGGCCCAGGCGGTCATTCCCGTAGTTGGACAGGTGCGTCATGAAGATGCTAATCTGCTCCAGGGAGGGAAGATGCGAGGCGGGGCCAGTCAGCCTCTGAGCCCCTTTCACTACCTTCACCCCCACTTCTGACCCTCTGGTCTTGCTTGAGCTTGTAGGGCCGCGCTCAATGACCAGTCCAAGGTTCACCGGGGCCGTCAATAAACTCACCGTGTGAGCTTGGGCTAGGTACAGCCAGGTGAACCTGGTCTGACACCTGAAAGGGGAAGCTGACCTCCTGTGCAGTCATATGGGTGCTCTTTTCTACTTTTTTGGCAGGAGGGTGAGGGGGTGCACGGAAGATAAGGGGTACACGGTTACCCCATAAAGCTGATAACATCACCACTTGATATCTATCTAATATTATTAAAGCATGGATGATTATTTCCATTTTACAGATAAGGAAAGAGAGACCCAGAAAGTTCAGCTGAACTTTCAGCTGAGCTATATATATAGTGCATTTTAAACTATCTATCTATGTAGATATGTAGTTTGATATATAGCTTAACAGATTCAGTTTACTATGTATATTTATACAATATTTATATATTTATACACAAACACAGAGATTGGAAAAAGAACAGACAAAAATGCCAACACTAATGGACTTCCCTGGTGGTGCAGACTAATAAGAACCTGCTGTATAAAAAAAAATCAATTAATTAAATTCAAAAATTAAAAAAAAATAATAACAAGTTAAAAAAAAAAGGGGGGCTTCCCTGGTGGCGCAGTGGTTGAGAGTCCGCCTGCCGATGCAGGGGACACGGGTTCGATCCCTGGTCCGGGAAGATCCCACATGCCGCGGAGCAACTAAGCCCGTGCGCCACAACTACCGAGCCTGCGCTCTAGAGCCCGTGAGCCACAACTACTGAGCCTGCATGCTGCAACTACTGAAGCCCGTGTGCCTAGAGCCCGTGCTCCGCAACGAAGAGTAGCCCCCGCTCACTGCAATCAGAGAAAACCTGTGTGCAACAACGAAGACCCAACGCAGCCAAAAATAAATAAACAAATAAATAAATGTATTTTTTAAAAAGTGCCAACACTATTGTATGGAAGTGCAAGATTATAAAAGGGACAAAAAGACTGCTCAGATTCTCCACCAAGGTCATGCAGAGGAGCGGGGACACAGCCAGGGCTAGAGTGCAGGTTTCCCAACTCCTGGCTGCACACTTGCTCCTGCCCCTCCCCCCAGGCCAGGGAAGGCCTGCCTCGGCTGCAGCCGACTGTCCGACTGTCTGGCAGCCCCTCCTCACCGCCAGCCAAGGGCTGTGGAGCACTCACAGGGTTGAGGAGCACTGTGAGGAAGAGCTCGCCCCCGTTGATGATCTTGTCCAGCTCGCTGGAGCCGCCTGGGTACTCGTTGTAGAAGATCGTGTGTGTGAAGAGGCCGCAGGTCTGCCGCGGGAGGACCTGAGGATGGGGCGGGAGAGAGGAGCTATGGCTTCTCCAGGCACGGATAGTGACGAGCAGGGTCACCAGAAAGGGGACCTCAGAAAGGCAGCCTCTTGTGTGACCACACACACCCCAACCCTTGGGGGTCTTCTCCACCAAAGACCTGCAGCCTGTGACACTCCCCCACGTAAGCCCAGGGGCCCTTGCCATTTTACACATGTAAACACTTTTCATATTTCTCTGTACAAAATGAGCAGACTCCAAAGTAACAGGGACAGGCAAGTGAGAATGTTTCTGGAAACTTGGACTGTGCGCCCAGCGAGGGTCCCTGCCCCTCTCTAGAGCAGCTCTCCCAGGCACACTCGGTGACTTCTCTCCTGGCTTTACAACCTGCCTCGTAGCACTCTTGGTTGTACATTAGTTTAGCTGTTTAGTATGCAATCCAGGAGGGCAGAGAATTCACCCGTCTCGTCACCGCCTCATCCCCAGAGTCAGTAGGAACGCCTGGGAGGTCAGAGGATAGATGGATGCAGGCATGAATCTGGCCTTCCCATGACTGCCCATCTGGACTGATGAGAACCGTCTAGCCACTCCAGTGGCTGAGGCTAAAAACCTGGAGTCATCCTTGCCTTACCTCTCTCTCCCATACTCTATATCCAAGTCATCAGCAATTCCTGTTGGCTGTAACTTCTAAGTATGTCCAGAATGTGATCACGACCCAGCATTGCACCCTGGTCCAAGCCACTATGCCTCAATGGGAAGACTGCAGCGGCCTCCTAACTGGTCTCCCTGCTCCCCACTTGGCCCCCTACAGGCTTGGCAACTCATAGCAGCCAGAATGATGGAAATCCTCTTAAAATATGAGTTAGATCATAAGAGCACTCCATTCAAAACCCTCCCATCACAGACTAAAAGCTAAAGTCCATCCAGTGGCCTTATGTTGCCCTGCATGATCTGGTCCATCAATCACCCCTCTGACCTCATCTCCTACCACCTCCTCCCAATTTGCTCCCTTCCAGCCATACTTGTCTCTTAGTTGGTCCTCAAAACCACGCAGCACAAGCCTGCCTCAGGGCCTTTGCACTTGTTTTCTCTGCACGCATGCTCTTCCTCATGTAGCAGCATGGCTCATTCCCAGGAAGGCTCTCCCTAACCATCCTGTTTAAGCTTCTCCTCTCCTCAGTACTCCCTGTCTCCATTCCCTGTTTGATTTTTCTCCACAGCATTTATGCCATCTGACCATTGCATACTTTACACAGTTATGAATGCACTGTCTCCTGCCACTAGAATGTCAGGTCTACAAAGGTGAGGACTTTTGATTTTGTGCACTTCAGTATTCCCAGTGTGTGGAAAAGCGACAAACACACATTTTACATAAGCCAACAAACGGATGAGACAGAGGCCTTTCCAGAGCCTCACTAGAGGCCCATTAAAGAATGCTCATCTCCTGATCCCCTGTCACAAAAGCATAGGAGTAGCTCACGAAAGAGGCAGACTGGTAGTCCTCCTTCCCTGGGATAGAGAGCCTCAGGTGACAGAGGGGACAGTACAAAGTGGCCTGAAACCCCTAACCAGCTCCCCAGACTCATGCTTCCCAGGATAGCATGTGCATACCCGCCTCCCAGGCTCTGGGCCACACTCACCATGATGCCGTTGTGGATGAAGCCGCGGCGGTAGCGGGCTGGCTTCAGGTGGGGGTACTCCTCCGTGCTGGTCACGTGGATGTTCCACACCTGCTTCCAGGCCTCGTACAGCTGCACGTGCACAGGGTACACGCCCGAGTGGTGGGGCGCCACTGCGTACCCCATGTCTGTGGGAATGCCGTGCTCCTGGGGAGAGGAGGGCCAGGGCAGGGTGAGCAGAGGATTTCTTCCCCTCTGGGCTTTATCTCCCCTTTGCAGAGAAAAATCAGAGGCTAGAACGGCAGAGCAGCGGGTCTGAGCCCTTGAGGTGCAGATGGGGAAGCTGAGGCTCAGGGCCCAGAGTCTCGGAAAGAGGCACCAGCCGAGCCGGGACTCCAGTTCGGCCCAGCATTCACTTCCTCCAGCACCAGGAGTGAGGAACAAGGACGGGTGCTGTTCCTGCCTCTCTTGGCCTCTGACTGGCTGGTGGCTCAGGCTGAGCCAGCAAGCAGGCTTCATCCCCTCCTTGCTGGGCATCTCCTCCAGCCTTCTGGGGTACCCACTCTAGCCTGAAGATGAGAGCTTGGGCTCAGGAAGCAAACAGGCCTGGGTTTAAGTCCTGCGCGGACCTCTTATTAGCTGGTATGGCCTCCCAGAGCTCCAGTTTCTTGTTTAAAATGAGGCTATTGAGATACCAGCCTCTTGGGATCCCTGTGAGGCTTCAACGAGACAGCAGCTATAAAGATGTTAATAAACAGCTGTCAGACGAACTGCAGAAGCAGCACAAGGCCAGTAGTTCTGACCCCCAGCCCCGCCCCGAGCCCTCCCGGCTCTGCCCTGTAGGGAATCTTACTCACGACAGCGAACTTCTTGTTCAGGGCCATCTGCTCAGCCAGTACGGACTGGTTGTGGAAAAGGTGGGGCTGCATGTGGCTCCACATGTGGGGGAACCACCAAAACTCCTTCACGTATGACAGCAGCAGGTCGTCCCCCGCGTCCTCAGCATCAGTACCTACAGCCCGAGCACAGGCAGCTCAGCCCGGCCCACCTGCCATGAGGCCCGGTGATGGGTGTGCACGGCCACAGCCCACCTGAGAGCTGCTTAGAGCGGTTCTGTGAGCTACAGTGTGGGGCAGATAGAGCCCCAGTCCAGGGCCCTGGATTTGAGTATGGCCTTGACTCAGTGGGTGACTTTGGCTAAGTACTCCCCATCTCTGGCCCTTGGGGCCTGTCTATGCAATATGCAGTTCAGAGGCAATGATTCTAATGGTTTCTTCTAGCTCTGACTTGCCTGCTGTGATCCTATTCCTATTTTTCTACTGGGTCATTTGTCTTTTACTTATTGACTTGTAGATGCTCTTTGTATATGTACAAGATGTTTAACCCTGTCTTGTGTATATCACTACAACTACATTTGATATGCTAAGGGTTAAGAATATAAAAATACACACAGACAACCAAGTGTTGCTCTTATTTGGCTTTGGAGCTATGCTGCAGACTTTCCTCCCAGAACTGCAGACTAATAGGGTTTGCCTAGAACTCAAGAGAGGCTGTCCTCACTGTGGCCCACGCAAAAGGCAGCTCGAGGGAATGCTCACTACAGATGACTACCCAGAGGCTGTTCCCTTCTGCCCAGTCCCAAGGGGCAGCTTGTGAGGACCTTGGGAAAGCCCCCAAGAGGAGGGCAAGTATGAACCAGGCAACCCTGAGCCTTCAACCTCAACCCTTAAGGCTCAAAAATAAAAAATAAACTCATTCCAGATGAAGGAACAAGATAAAAACCCACAAGAACAATTAAATGAAATGGAGACAGGCAACCTACCTGAAGAAGAATTTAGAGTAATGATAGTAAAGATGATCCAAGATCTCGGAAAAAGAATAGAAGCACAGATTGTGAAGATACACAAGATGTTTAACAAAGAGCTAGAGATTTAAAGAACAAGCAGAGATGAAGAATACAATAACTGGAATGAAAAATACACTAGAAGGAATCAACAGCAGAATAACTGAAGCAGAAGAATGAATCAGTGAGCTGGAAGACAGAATGGTGGAAATCACTGCCACAGAAAAGAATAAAGAAAAAAGAATGAAAAGAAATGAGGACAGTCTCAGAGACTTCTGGAACAACATTAAATGCACCAACATTTGCATTATAGGGGTCCCAGAAGGAGAAGAGAGAGAGAAAGGGCCTGAGGAAATATATGAAGATATTATAGCAGAAAACTTCCCTAACAGGAGAAGGAAACAGTCACTCAAGTCCAGGAAATGCAGAGTCCAATACAAGATAAACCCAAGGAGGAGCATGCCGAGACACATATTAATCAAACTGACAAAAATTAAAGACAAAGAAAAATTATTAAAAGCAACAAATAACATACAAGGGAATCCCCAAAAGGTCATCAGCTGATTTTTCAGCAGAAACTCTGCAGGCCAGAAGGGAGTGGCACGATATATTTAAAGTGATAAAAGGGAAAAACCTACAACCAAGAATACCCAGCAAGGCTCTCGTTCAGATTTGATGGAGAAATCAAAGCTTTACAGACAAGTAAAAGCAAAGTGAATTCAGCACCACCAAACCAGCCTTAGAACAAATCCTAAAGGAACTTCTCTAGGCAGAAAAGAAAAGGCCACAACTAGAATCAAGAGAATTACAAATAGGAAAGCTCACCAGTAAAGGCAACATAATGTAAAGGTAGGAAATCATCCACACACAAATATATCAAAACCAGCAATCATGAGAAGAGGAGAGTACAAATGCAGGATATTGGAAATGCACTGGAAATTAAGAGACCAGCAACTTAAAACAATCTTGTACATATGTAGTCTGCTATATCAAAACCTCATGGGAACTGCAAACCAAAAGTCTACAACAGACACACACACAAAAAAAGAAAAAGCAATCCAAACACAACACTAAAGATAGACATCAAATCACAAGAGGACAAAAGAGGAAGGGAAGAAAAAAGACCTCCCAAAACAAGTCCAAAACAATTAACAAAATGGCAATAGGAACATACATTTCAATAATTACCTTAAATTAAATGGATTAAATGCTTCAACCAAAAGACATGGGCTCGCTGAATGGATACAAAAACAAGACCCATATATATGTTGTCTACAAGAGACCCACTTCAGACACAGGGACACAGACAGACTGAAAGTGAGGGGACAGAAAAAGATATTCCATGCAAATGAAAATCAAAAGAAAGCTGGAGTAGCAATACTCATATCAAACAAAATAGACTTTAAAATAAAGACTCTTACAAGAGACAAGGAAGGACACTACATAATGATCAAGGGATCAATCCAAGAAGAAGATACAACAATTGTAAATATATATGCACCCAACATAGGAGCACCTCAATACATAAGGCAAATGCTAACAGCCATAAAAGGGGAGATGAACAGTAACACAATAATAGTAGGGGACTTTACAACCCACATCAATGGACAGATGATCCAGACAGAAAATCTACAAGGAAACACAAGCCTTAGACCAGATGAACTTAACTGATATTTATAGGACATTCCATCTGAAAGCAGCAGAATACACTTTCTTCTCAAGTGCACATGGAACATTCTCCAGGATAGATCACATGTTGGGCCACAAATCAAGCCTTGGTAAATTTAAGAAAATTGAAATCACATCAAGCATCTTTTCTGACCACAACACTATGAGAGTAGAAATTCATAACAGGAAAAAAAACTTTAAAAAACACAAACACATGGAGGCTAAACAATATGTTACTAAACAACCAACGGATCTCTGAAGAAGTCAAAGAGGAAATCAAAAAATACCTAGAGACAAGTGACAATGAAAATACAACAGTCCAAAACCTATGGGATGCAGCAAAAGCTGTTCTAAGAGGGACGTTTTCAGCAATACAATCTTACCTCGGGAAACAAGAAAAATCTCTGAATAAAGGTTATTCAGAGATTAATAGGCTAATAAACAACCTAACCTTACACCTAGAGCAACTAGAGAAAGAAGAACAAAGAAAACCCAAAATTAGTAGAAGAAAAGAAACCATAAATATCAGAGCAGAAATAAATGAAATAGAGACAAAGAAAACAATAGAAAAGATCAATGAAACTAAAAGCTGGTTCTTTAAAAAGATAAACAAAATTGATAAACATTTTGCCATACTCATCAGGAAAAAAAGGGAGAATTCAAATCAATAAAATTAGAAATGAAAAAGGAGAAGTTACAGTGGACACGACAGAAATACAAAGGATCATAGACAATGCTACAGGTAACTATGGACCAATAAAATGGACAACCTAGAAGAAATGGAAAAATTCTTAAAAAGCTACAACTTTCCAAGACTGAACCAGGAAGAAATAGAAAATATGAACATACCAATCACAAGTACTGAAATTGAAACAGTGATTAAAAAACTCCCAACCAAAGTCCATGACCAGATGGCTTCACAGGTGAATTCTATCAAACATTTAGAGAAGAGTTAACACCTATCCTTCTGAAACTCTTCCAAAAAATTACACAGGAAGGAATACTCCCAAGCTCATTCTATGAGGTCACCATCACCCTGATACCAACACCTGGCAAAGATACCACAAAAAAAGAAAATTAAAGGCCAATATCACTGATGAACATAGATGCAAAAATACTCAACAGAATACTAGCAAATTGAATCTGGCAACAGATTAAAAGGATCACACACCATGATCAAGGGGATTTATCCCAAGGATGCAAGGATTCTTCAGTATCTGCAAATCAATCAATGTGATACACCACATTAATAAACTGAAGAATAAAAATCATATGATCATCTCAATAGATGCAGAAAAAGCTTTTGACAAAATTCAACACCTATTTATGATAAAAACTCTCAAGAAAGTAGGCATAGAGGGAACTTACCCCAACATAATAAAGGCCATATATGACAAACCCACAGCTAACATCATTCTCAATGGTGGAAAGCTGAAAGCATTCCCTGTAAGATCAGGAACAAGGCAAGGATGTCCACCATCACCACTTTTATTCAACATGCTTTTGAAGTCCTAGCTATGGCAATCAGAGAAGAAAAAGAAATAAAAGGAATCCAAATTGGAAAAGAAGAAGTAAACCTGTCACTGTTTGAAGATGACATTATACTATACATAGAATATCCTAAAGATGATACAAGAAAACTACTAGAGCTCATCAATGAATTTGGTAAAGTTGCAGGATACAAAATGAATACAGAGAAATCTCTTACATTACTACACACTAACAACAAAAGATGAGAAAGAGAAATTAATGGGACTTCCCTGGCAGTGCAGTGGTTAAGACTCCATGCTTGCAATGCAGGGGGCACAGGTTCGATCACTGGTTGGGGAACTAAGATCCCACATGCCGCATGGCGCGGCCAAAAAGAAAGAGATATTAAGGAAACAATCCCATTTACCATTGCATCAAAAAGAATAAAATACCTAGGAATAAAAGTACCTAACGAGGCAAAAGACCTGTACTCTGAAAACTATAAGATGCTGATGAAAGAAACTGAAAATGACACAAACAGATGGAAAGATATACCATGTTCTTGGATTGGAAGAATCAATATTGTCAAAAGGACTATACTACCCAAGGCAATCTACAGATTCAATGCAATCCCTATCAAACTACCAATGGCATTTTTCACAGAACTACAACAAAAATATTTTAAAATTTGTATGGAAAAACAGAAGACCCTAAATAGCCAAAGCAATCCTCAGAAAGAAAAACGGAGCTGGAGGCATCAAGCTCCCTGACTTCAGGCTATACTACAAAGCTACAGTAATCAAAACAGCATGCTACTGGTGCAAAAACAGAAATATAGATCAATGGAACAGGACAGAAAGCCCAGAAGTAAACTCATGCACCTATGGTCAATTAATCTATAACAAAAGAGACAAGAATATACAATGGAGAAAAGACAGTCTCTTCAATAAGTGGTGCTGGGAAAACTGGACAGCTACATGTTAAAGAATGAAATTAGAACATTCCTTAACACCATACACAAAAATAAACTCAAAATGGATCAAATAATGTAAGGCCAGACACTATAGAACTCTTAGAGGAAAACAAAGGCAGAACACTCTTTGACATAAATCACAGCAATATCTTTTCTGATCCACCTCCTAGAGTAATGAAAATAAAAACAAAAATAAACAAATGTGACCTAATTAAACTTAAAAGCTCTGCACAGCAAAAGAAACCATAAACAAAATGAAAAGAAAACCCACAGAATGGGAGAAAATATTTGCAAAGGAAGTGATTGACAAGGGTTAATCTCCAAAATATACAAAACAGCTCAGGCAGCTCTATGTCAAAAAAACAAACCACTCAATCAAAAAATGGACAGAGGGCTTCCCTGGTGGCACAGTGGTTAAGAGTCTGCCTGCCGATGCAGGGGACGCGGGTTCATGTCCCGGTCCGGGAAGATACCACATGCCGCGGAGCGGCTGGGCCCGTAAGCCATGGCCGCTGAGCCTGCGCGTCCAGAGCCTGTGCTCCGCTACGGGAGAGGCCACAACAGTGAGAGGCCCGTGTACCGGAAAAAAAAAAAAAAAAGGGCAGAAGATTTAAATAGACATTTTTCCAAAGAAGATATACAGAAAGCCAAAAAGCACTTGAAAAGATGCTCAACATCACTAATTAGTGGAGAAATGCAAATCAAAACTACAATGAGGTTATCACCTCACACTGGTCAATATGGCTATCATCAAAAAGTCTACAAACAGGGACTTCCCTGGGGGTCCAGTGGTTAAGACTCCGTGCTTCCAATGCAGGGGATGTGGATTCAATCTCTGATCAGGGAACTAAGGTCCCACATGCCACGCAGTGCAACCAAAGAAAAGTCTACAAGTAATAAATGCTGGAGAGGGTGCAGAGAAAAGGGAACCCTCCTGTACTGTTGGTGGGAATGTAAATTAGTACAACCACTATGGAAATCAGTATGTAGGTTCCTTAAAAAACTAAAAATAGAACTACCATATGATCCAGCAATCCCAGTCCTGGGCATATATCCAGAGAAAACCATAATTTGAAAAGATACACGCACCCCAATGTTCGCTGCAGCACTATTTACAACAGCCAAGACACGGAAGCCACCTAAATGTCCATCAACAGACAAATGGATTAAAAAGATGTGGTACATATATACAATGGAATATTACACAGCCATAAAAAAGAATGAAATAATGCCATTTGCAGCAACATGGATGGACCTAGAGATTATCATACTAACTAAGCCATACAGAGAAAGGCAAATATCATATCACTCATATGTGGAAGCTAATTTTTTAAAAAATGATACAAATGAACTTATTTACAAAACAGAAACAGACTTACAGATATCAAAAATGGTTACCTAACTTATGGTTACCTAAGGGGAAACATGGTGGGGAAGGATAAATCAGGAGCTTGGGATTAACATACACTACCATGTATAAAATACATAACCAACAAGGACCTACTGAATAGCACAGGGAACTATACTCAATAGTCTGTGATGAGGGAATTCCCTGGTGGTGCCGGGTTTAGGACTCCACACTTTCACTGCTGAGGGCCTGGGTTCAATCCCTGGTCAGGGAACTAAGATCCCACAAGCCAGGCAGCACAGCCAAAAAACAAAAAAAATTCTGTGATAACCTATGTGAGGAAAGAATCTAAAAAAGAATAAATATATGTATAACTGAATGACTCTGCTGTACACCTGAAACTAACACAACACTGTAAATTAACTATACTCCAATAAAATTAAAAAAAAAAGAAAAACTCGTGACAGTGCTCATCTCTGGGGTGGGTACAGTTATAGGGCATTTTCATTTTCTCTGCTACATATTTCTGTAAAATTCTTAAAATTCAACCAATTCCTCTCTAAGGCTGAAGTAGTACAAAGAATATTAAAAGGTGGTGGTGAGAGGGAGACAAGAGGGAGAAGATGCCCACCCCCCTGAACAGCAGAGCCTGAGGCCCAGGGACAGATGAGTGGGGGCCGTCGTGTGTTACCGCTGTCTCTAAATGCCCTCTGCCTGGGGCTGCGACTGCTCTGTGGGCTGTCTGGCTCTGGGAGAGGCCACAGAGGTCAAATGTGGCCCTAAGTGGGCCCATCCGCCCACCTGCTGACCCCATGGCATAGCACTCCGAGGGTCTGGATGTTGAGGGCCCCTGGAAGTTGCTAGTGGGGGCAGAGCCAGGCCCACTTACCTGTGTGGAAGAATTTCCCTGAGTAGCCCAGGTTGAAAGTGAAGTTTGGGATGTGTGTCCGTAGTTCGTTCTGCGTATCAAATAGGGCCTAGGATAGGCAGAGTGGGGAGAAAGGGGTGAGGGGAAGCCAGAAGTTCCCCGCTCCTCCCAGAAGGGTTCAGCTCCTGCAGGACCAACTATAAAGTTGGCAGGGCCCATAGAAAAATGAAAATAGGGACCCTTGCTCAAAGATTGTTGAAAATGTTAAGAAGGAAATAGCAGAGCATTATCTCGAATATGGGCCCCTTCCAAGCATGGGGCCCTGTGTGACTATACAGGTCCCATACCCACGAAGCCAGCCCTGTGCTGCCACCTCCACCAGGCCTCTGGCAAGACAAGACATAGACTCTAGCCTGGTTCTGCCATGCCCTTGAGAAAGCTATGCAAATTCTCCAGGCCCCAGTTTCCCCAGGTGTGAAATAGGGATAATAATAGCTCCCTTATGGGGCTCTTGGGAGGATTAAATGAGATACTGTATGTAAAACAGCCTGGCATTTTGGTAAGTGATGAAAAACAGTGCCATTATCATGTCTGTGGTCACTGCCACTGTGAGCCTCATGTCTTCATCTGTCAAATGTGGGGGATTTCACCTCGTTGGTGACTGCAAGGCTGATGTCAAAGGACCACGACTTTTCCAGAGACGTACTGTGTGCCCAGCAATGCAGTGTTTCCATGCACAGCTCACCCACTGCTTTGCAAGTCAATGAAGGGATGCTGACACTTGTGAAACAAACATACAGTTGTCCTCTGGAGTCAGGACTCAAAAAAATCCCTACCAGGTATGATGCACAAGCCTGCTAGGAAACCTGTAAGAAGAGCCCGCTATCAGAACACTTTGCAAACAAAAAGTCCTGGCCCTCCTTGGGGCCACCACCGGCATCTTACCAAGGCCATGCACTACCTGGTGGACGCCCATGCTCTAGCTGTGTGGCCTTGGGCCAGTTACTTCACCTCTCTGAGTCTTAGTGTCTGTAAAATGGGCTTTAAAACAATACCCACCTCACAGAGCTGCTGTGAGGATCAGATGATGCAATGCACAGAAAGGGCTGAGCACAGAGCCTGGCACTTGCCAAGCCTTGAATAAGCACTGCTGTTGGTATCATTTAAGTTGCACTGTACAGCCCGTACTGTACAAGTTAATGAGGCAACATTCATGTCTCTGCAAGGAAAGCTCAGTTGTAGCCAGTCCTTGGGATTAAAGAAAAAAAAAACCCTGCCCTTTCTGACTCAAAAGGATGTTTAAAGCAAATGGGACCTGGCTGGCATAGAGCACTACAGTCTGCACTGAGCTGAGTACACTGAAGAGGGCATCTCTTTTGGTATTCTTCTACAGAAAAGGCTCCAAACTGCTAGCATTCCTCTCATTCCAATAATGGGGAAAATAAGAACCAAGAAGGGCAAGCCCAGGGTTCACAGGAGACATAGTGAGCCTGGCAGCCTGATTTCCTCATGGGGCCGACCCTGGACCAGTCTCAAGGACTCATCCTGGACAGGAAGCAAAGACCTAGGTTACAGCAGGAGAGAGCAAGCTTGGGCTACCTGAAGAACGTCCTAAGGAGAAAACAGAGTAATCTACTTTGCTAGAGGTGGGTCGGGGCATTGCATGATGCCTCAGAGCTGGAAGGCTCAACAGGAGTCGTCTCAAAACTTTCTTTCAGTAGGGGAGCCCCTGAGGAAGTGAAATCTCAGGAGCAAACCCAATGGGTAAAGCAGATCAAAGCAACACTGCTCTGTCCCAGAAGTAGATCCGGAAGGGCTCAGAGCCTGGCATCTGCACATGCCCCCTCACCCCAGCCATCCAGGTCCTTCCCATCCACCCCATCTTGTCATTTCACCGCTGAAGCTCAGACGGTGGAAGGGACTTGCCCAAGTCACCCAGTCAGTTAGGGGCAGATTGGGACTGGAACCCAGGTCTCGACTCCCCAGACAGTGCCTGCTCCTCAGCAGCATCTACTCTGCTCTCCCCTGGAGGTGTACGGAGGAGCAGAGAGTTCACTCTAGACCAAGGCAGGAGGACGATGGACCCCGCCCCCTGCCCCAGCCCAGGGCCTTCCTTCCAGGACCCACAGCCAATTCCAGCACAGCACCCACACGGAGGAAAGCATTCCTCTTAATTATTAAGTCTCCTTTTCCGTCCTCCTCCTGTCGTCAAAAAGAAGTCTTGGTTTGGTGCTAATACGTTTCTAACTCTCACTAATCTCGTATAAGAGAGGACAGGTCATCGGTAGGCAGCAGTACTTCGCTAGAATTTAATCCTCTGTTTCGCTTTCATTGGATCTATTGTTATGGTTGCCCTCTATTTATGGCAACTGATACTGATTTCCCCATTTACACTAGTGATGTTGTTCCTTTTGCATCCAACTCTGAGTAAAGTAGTGAGTAGATGAAAATGGTCTTAATTTGCAGGCTTCTCTTTTATAGTGATACATGTGTAAAATTTCATGGTATGCAAAATGCTTTTACATACAGTTAGTTTAGTTTGGTAAACATTTTTTGAATTAAACACATGCCTTTCACTATCTATACAGACCGCAGTTAAAAGTATGCCTTGTGTATGATTCACACTCTAATTCTTGTTTTATGAGTTTTGGAGGAGCTTTGGTACTGACACAAACATTTTTGAGAGTTAAAAATCATGTCTGGATTAAGAGGTAGGTACTCTCTGCACAGCTACCATCTCTCCGTAGTTACATTCTTGAGCTCCATATAACCAGATGCAAAATTCCTGTATATTCAATACTTCAAATAATTTTAAATGGCACTTGCTCCTAATAAGACAATAAAACCAAGTGGCCAAGGGAGGGGGACGGACAGCACAGAGGAGGTGCAGACAGCAAAGTCACGATGGGGACAGTAAGGTCTGAAGGTGGCGAAGCCCACCCTACACGGTCTGGCGCCCCCAGCCATACCTTCACGTCCTCCACCTTCATGCGCGTGCCCTCCTTGCCCACAAAGATGTCGTCAATGTCCACCAGGATGTAGCGGTCCAGAGGCAGCGAGAGGCGCTTGCCTGTGAGGAAGGCCACGGCATCGACGAAGACGAGCTTGTGCAGCCAGAAGTTGAGGTTGTTGCCGAACAGCACGCGCTGGATTCCGTCGTGGAGGCCCAGGTCCTGGACCACAGTGGCATGCAGTGCGGCGTGAAGGCCGGCATCCGCGCCCAGGTGCGGGATGGACTCGGACGACCGCGTCTTGGCCAGGAGCACAGGTTCGTAGGTGGAGTGGTTCGACTGGAATACAGTCCAGTCCTCGCCGGGCAGCACGCCCTTCTCCACCTCGCTGGGCCGCGTCACGTACAGCAGCGGGGACTTGGGGTTGATGCTGCAGTCTTTCAGGCCCAGGTTGGAGTGCAGGAACAGGGGGAAACCTTTGAGCTGCGCGCTCAGCAGGCTGTTCTCATTGGCCTGCAGCCGGGTGGGGTGGGGCAGGGCGGGGGAGGGGGGAAGAGAGCCGTCAGAACCACAGCCCCAAGGGACCACGGAGTATCAGTTGTGGACTCATAACAGTCATGTCAACAGTACTCACTAACATTCACAGAGGGCTCGTCACATTCCTGATCCTGTGCTGACCTAGCGGTGCAAACCCCGCTCTGCCTGTCATCGTAATATACCAGCTAACACACATGCCGTGCTCACCAAAGCCAGGAACCAAGCTCGTGCACTTTACATGAAGGGGTGCCGTAATCCTCACAGTGACCCCACGATGGAAGCATCACTGCCATTCCCATTATACAGACAAGGAGACTGGGCCCAGAAAGGCTAAGTAACTTGTCCAAAATCACACACAGGAAAGTCTAGCAGTGGAGAGCATGGATTCTGCCACCAGACTGCGTGGCCTTGGGCAAGTCAGGTAACCTCCCCGCGCCTCAGTTTCCTCTGCTGTAAAACATGGCCAAGAATGGTAACTCCCTCAAGGGGTGATGGAGGAGGCTGAGCGTTGACTCTCGCAAAGTGCTTAGAACAGGGCCAGCGGCATCGCCCATTGCTCGTTCAGTCCTCACATCAGCCTCAGGAGGAGGGTTCCTCTGTCATCCCCGCTTCACAGACGAGGATACCCAGGCTCTGAGGGCGGTGCTGCCCTGAGTTGCACCGTGGTCAGGACGAGCCACACCTCACAGACAGATGGCTGACCCCTGAGCCCACACACCTGACCACCAGGCTCCCCTGCCTGGGGTTTCCAAGCTGGCTTTTGTCACAATCTTTTCTTCAGGAGAAATCCTGGGCGGATGCCAACAGAGAAGAGATCAAAGACGAGGTATCTTCTGGGAGTGCAGGAGCAGACACTCTGCCCACTGTGCTCCCAACCCCCATGTGCCCCCAGCACTCCCAAGGCTATGTCCCAGAGGAGCCCAGCTCCCTGTGCCTCCCTCTCCTCCCAGGACCCGCTGCTGTCAGCTCCCTGGGAACCTGCAGGCAGTACCCACAGCACCCCCTTTTCCTCTTCCCTAGACTCACAGCCCCTGCTCCTTATCCCTCACCCTCCCAGCCACCTGCCTCTGGATACAGTACAATTTGTCCTTGTCCCTGTGCCAACTCCTTTTGGTCTTCTTGGCCTGACAAACTGCTCATCCTTCAAAACCCCATGCATCAGGACCTCCCTGGTGGCGCAGTGGTTAAGAATCCACCTGCCAATGCAGGGGACACAGGTCTGAGCCCTGGTCTGGGAAGATCCCACATGCCACGGAGCAACTAAGCCTGTGCGCCACAACTACCGAGCCTGCGCTCTAGAGCCCGCATGCCACAACTACTGAAGCTCGAGCACCTAGAGCCTGTGCTCTGCACAAAGAGAAGCCACGGCAATGAGAAGCCCGCACATCGCAATGCAGATTAGCCCCCGCCCAAGCCCACATGCAGCAACGAAGACCCAACGCAGCAAGAAAGGAAGGAAGGAAGGAAGGAAGGAAGGAAGGAAGGAAGGAGGGAAGGAAGGAAGGAGGGAAGGAGGGAGGGAGGGAGGGAAGGAGGGAGGGAAGGAAGGAAGGGAGGGAGGGAGGGAGGGAGGGAGGGAGGGAGGGAGGGAGGAAGGAAGGAAGGAAGGAAGGAAGGAAGGAAGGAAGGAAGGAAGGGGCCTCCCTGGGGCATTAAAGCCTCAGCTGTAGCACTTCTCACCTTGGCTGCTGCATTATCTGTTCAGAGTCTCCCCCACCAGTCTGCACCCTCTCAAGGGCAAGTACTATGTCACTTCCACCTTGGATCCCTGGTGCCAGCACAGGCTTGACACCCAGTGGGAGCAAACGCATATCGGATGTGTAACTGGATTTTTAAAAAGAAAGAAGAACAGACAGATCCCAAATACCTGGCACATGACAGCTTTTCATTACGGGTTTCATTTGTTTATCCCACAATTGTTCACTATGCCAGGCACTGTGTTAAGTAACAGGGATACAGTGAGAAAAACAGACATGGCTCCTGCCCTCGTGAACTGTAAAGGTGAGCAGAGAAGAGAGAGAGTAGTCAATGTAGCAGAAATATACGTAAACTTCAGTGTGACACATGCTACACAGAGGAGGTTCATAGTCCTAGAAGAGTAGGTAACTGGGCATAGTCAGCTGGCTCAAGAGAGGCTTCCTGGAGAAAGGGACTGAGTAAGCATCAACTAGGGGAGAGGTGGGAGCCAAGTTCAAAGAACAGCAAGTGCAAAGGCCCTGAGGTTGGCGAGAGCTCAGCACAGTCAAGGAATATCAAGAGGCCAGCAGAGTGATCAAGAGGGAGGAGAGGAGATGAGGCAGAAAGGTCAGCTGGGACCAGACCTGCAGGACCCTCGAGGCTTGAAGTGGCAGTGGGAAGCCATCAAAGACTCCATCAAAGGGTTGTGAACAGAGGGATGACAGGTTCCAATTTGCATGTTAAAAAGGTCCATCTGGCCACTGTGTGAAGAACGAGTGGGGTGGGATGAATCAAGAGTGGACAAAGGGCAGCAAATGAGGTTGGAGAGGCAGGCACAGTGGTCCACAGGGCCACCCTGGAGAGCTCACCACGTGAGCACTGAACAAGGACACTCAGCTGAGGGCTTAGCCCTGGGCCTCAAGTAGAGCGACATCTGCCCAGGGTGCCTTTTAGTAATAACCTTCATGCAGAAGTGCTTTTTTCTAATTCCCACGAAGGCTCTGCAGGGCCCTTGCCTCGTAAACTGAGATAAAGGGCCTGCATTTGACTCTCCACACACCAGGAGTACCTGCCAACTCCCACCCTGTCCTGAGCCAGCCTCTGTCTGGTGTTGACAGCCCCAAACTGAGAGGCCCCTCCCTCAGCCCCCGGCTCCCCAAGACCACTAAGCCAGCACTGGGGACAAAGGCAGGGGGGGGCAGTGACATTTCAGGCCCTGTCCATCACCTGCTGTGGCCTGGGAGGCCACACTGGATCACAGGCACTGAGGGATCCCATTTCAAAGCCCCGACTCTGAGCTGACTGCCAGGCGCTGGCAGCTCAGCCAGCTGCCCAGCTGGGAGGCATGAAGGAAGGGAGGAAGCCAAGTTGCCGACTGTCCACCCCAGTCCGCAGCGAAAGCAACCATCTGGGGAAGGGAATGGAGAGTAAGCCTAAGCATCGCAGAGACTGACCCCCACTGCGGGCCTCGCCCCACGGGAGGGGAATCCCTCCTATTGTTCGGCGCTGGGGACCCACGCAGGAGACACCAAATCTTCCAGTGGGGTCATCAGGCAGAGGAAGGAAGAGCCCTGATCAGGGAATGGGAGACCTAGTACAGACTTAGGTAGTAACTGGTTGCGTGACCTTGGGAACCTCGGGGTCCCCAAGGTGCTACCTCTCAGGGCCTCACGTCCCACATCCGTCGGTCAGTTTGCTCCGACGCGCTCACCCGTGGTTGGCTTAGAAGGGCTGAGCGTGGTGGTCGAGTCCTGGCTCTGACTGATGAGCTGTGTCGGTCTAGAGGGCCATGTAACTTTCTGAGCCTTGAGTCCTCACCTGAAGATAAAGCGCCCACTTCACAGGGTAGCTGTGAGAATTACATACGATAAGATCTGCAAAGCCATGAGCTCAGGGTCTGGCATGTAGCACGTGTGCAGTCAAGCATCAGTGGCCCTTGTCAGGCCTCCACCGGGATGTGCTCAATCCCGGGGCACCTGGAGCTGCAAGGCTGAGCCGGGAAATGGGGCTACTGATGAAGACCCGCTCCCACCCTCAGGGTCCTCAGGGGCACATGCCGGCCAAGCCACAAGACAGATAAAGAACTACCACCAGCTGTGTGTGCTGAGGTGAGATGACAAGGCATGCCAGCTGCCATTTATTGGGTGGCTCTGGGTACCAGGCACTGGGCTAATGCTTCCCATCCACTATCCCGTCTTCAACATGGCACAGTGAGGTGGTGCTGTGATTGGCCCCCACTTCACAGATGGGTTGAATATGCTGCCCAAGGTCACTCTGCCTAGAAGTGACAGAACGAGTTGAACCAGAGTCTGGACTTTTCAGCCCCTGCTCTCCCACTGACCTGGGAATCCAGTGCCAGCGGGCATTGGAAAGTGAGTGTCTCCAGATCCCTGGAGTCCCAAGCCCGATGCACAGCATTGAAGCAGGCCTTGCGGAAGAGCAGAAGGATGCAGCTTGACCACCAGATGGCTCCCGTTAGAGCAGAAAGTCACAGGCCCCTGATCAAAACCAAGGAGGGGTCTCGTCTTACACAGCAGGGTAGAAAGAGCACGGAGCCCTGGAATTGCCACTGACCCCACAGGGAGACTCTGAGCACCTCCCTGCCCCTCCTTGGGCCTCGTGTTCACCTTCTGTAGAGCAAGGAACTGGGGCCTGATAGGATCCAAGCTATGTTGTACCGACCGTGCCCAATGACCACAGCCCACTGCTTGGTCCCCACAGACTGTGGGAGCTCTGTGCACCAGCTGTGGCCTCTGATGCAGATTCTACTAAATAGAATAAATGGTATTTGAAGTTCCTGGACTCATCCCACAGTGCAGGAATAAGCCTCTGGAGCCAGACCACCTGGGTTCAAATCCTAGGTCTGTGCTTATTAGAGGTGTGAGTGTGGGCACATTGCTTCACCCCTCTTTGCCTCAGTTTCCTTCTCTCTTAAATCAGATGACATCCACCTGGCTTGGAGGATAGTTTATGAGGGTCAAACATGTTAATTCACATAAAGCACGTAGGACGTGCGTGGCACTGGGTGAGCACTCGGCAAGTGTCGGCCATTGTGATGTTTTTCAGGCCTCGGGCTCTGAATCAAGCCTAATGAAGTTCATGGCAGGAAAGGGAACAGAGTCCAGGAGCAAAGGGAAACAGACAATGAAGCTGTCTGACGCTATGCCACTACCCAGCCATAAACCGGGCCAGCGTTTCCCAGACAGTGAGCCATGAAATACAGGGTTTTGTCATTAAGCCAGCTGGGGAGCAAATCTCACCAGGTTGCTCTACTGCAGGACTTCTAAGGGCCTTCAATTTCTTGGCCCCCAAAACCTGTTTTAGTGGCAGAGCAACCCGATCCATTAGTGCATGAAAGAACACAGCCGTGAGAAACCCTCAGCGAGACCAGGCTCCTCCCAGCACGGAGCACGGGTCCAGGGCGAGGCTGTGCCGCCAACGCCTGGGGACGAATGAGCAGCCATCGGTGGGCACGGCCCACTTCTGACCCATCTCCTGCTCCTCTCCCCACTCACACCAAGCAAGAGCCGGCCTTGGGACCCGTGTGTTTACTGTCCCCTCTGCCCGGAAGGCCCTTTGCACAGAGCGCCACGGGTTCCTCTCACTCCCTTCTGGTCACTTTATCAAAGATGACATCACTGGTAATGCATTCTATCAAAACCAGCACCAACTGCCCATATCCATCACCCAGTGCCCTTCCCCGCTTTCTTTTTTTTTTTGTACTTATCACCACCTGTCACATGGTATGTTTATCTGTTCACTGTCTAGTCACCCACTACACTGAAATGCCCACAGCACCACAGCCGGGACTTTGCACACTTCGATAACCACTGTGTCCCCAGTGCCTAGCGAAGGACCTGGAACATGGTAAGCACTCAGTATTTGCTGAATGATGGAACAAACACCCCCGAGCACCCAACTACAGTCCCAACCACCCAGCTTGCGCGTCAGAGTTCTCTGACCAGAGCCTCTGGATCCCCCATCCAGCTGTTCACAACCTCCTCCCCAAGGACAGCTCCTCCACGACACTTTCAGCAAGGGCTGTGGTCCTAGCAGTTGCTCTGGGTACCCCGCGGAGCCCAGAGCAGCTCACCGGTCCACTGGGATTTCTTTCTTCCAACGCAAAATGGCTCTGGTTCAAGAGGTACATAAACTCCACACCCCTCCACAGCCAAAAGGAAAGGGTGGAGGACCCAGAGCCCCCAACTGTCTGAGTCTGGGTTCAGACCCTGGCTCTCCCACTTACTGGCTACATGGCCTCCTGTGACCTAACTTAATCCTCCTGAGCCTTGGTTTGCCCATCTGCAAAACAGGGACACACCTCATCCATTGGGAGGACAGACATGAAAGGTTTTGAGGGACCCAGCAGGGCATATGCTCTCCTCCCTTGCACCCATCCCTGGGGCCTCCCTTAGGCACGAGCCTGCTGTGTGCCGGGCCCCATGCATGGAAGGCAATGCCCCTGTCGTGTGCTCCCAATGAAAGCTAATACTTAAAAAGTACCTACTAGACGCCAGGCACCAGGCGCTCCAAGTGCCTTACCTACACTCACCCACTTACCTTTCATGACAACCTAGGAGGAGGCGTTACCATTACACCCATTTTTCAGGTGAGGAGAGTCAGACACCCAGTTAGCAAGTGTGGGGATAAGAATCAAACTCAGCTGGAGCTCTCCACAGCTCGGGGACCCGCTCCCCACATACCTTGAAGAAGCCAATGATGCCCACGCCGTAGGCCACGCAATACTTGTCCAGCAGCTCCCTGTTCCAGGCATCCAGGTTGACGTACTTGAGGATGTTCTCATAGATGATGAGGGCGAAGCGGCCGCGGCCCTTGTCGGTGAGTGTGGGCATGTCACCCTTGCCCGGTGCAATCTCTGTGCGGTACTTGAAGCGGCTAGACTCCAGGATGGCCACCACCTCCTGGCCCAGCTGGGAGTAGAGGCTCTCCACGAACACCAGCACCAACGGGTCCGTGCGGGAAGGGGCAGCCACCTGTATGGGCTTGAGTGGCAGCAGGCGGCTGGGGGCCACGGGCGGCGGGTCCCCACAGTCAGGCTCGGGGGCGTCCACCGAGGGCTCCAGGCCCCGCTTCCAGCCATATAGGTAGTAGGCCGAGACAAAAACGCTGAACAGGCAGAAGGCGAACAGCAGGAAAAGTACAGCCTGCGGGGACATGTGCCGACACAGCCTGCGGAGGCGCGCCAGGGCGGGCATCCTGGCCCCCGAGACCTCGGCCACCGGGGGCCCGGCCGCCCCGGCTGCCCCAAGGCCCCACGCAGGAGAAGACTCCCAAGTTGTCCACCGACCGACAAGTTCACAGAGACTCAGCGAGCAAGGCCCGAAGTGGGCAGTGGCAGTGGCAGTGGAGGATCCGGGCCCCAGCCCTTCCTCCCAGCCAGGGGTGCAGTCCGCGGCTGGTTGCGCTCCTTCCTTCCTCCGCGCCCCTTTATGTCACCATGGCAAACCCCCACGTGGTCCTGTGCACAGCAGAAGTGCCCCAGGGCGTTAGGGCCTCCTGGGGGGGCTGGGCAGTGGGCTGAAGGATGCTGGGCATGCCTGGGGGTGCCGCATGCCGCTCGCTCGGTGGGGCCCCCGGGGCTAAGGCTGTGGAGAGAGGAGGAGAGTCAGAAGGCGGAAAGTCAGAGTGTGGGCTCTGGGGGTCCGCTGACTGTGGACCCACAGGTCCTGACCTCGCGGTGGGCCCAGATTCAATGACCGCTACCCAACCTGAGTTCATGATTGGGGGCAAGCTTGTCAATCTCTCTGAGCCTCAGCCTCCCCGTTTGTTGACAACAGTACCTGCCTCACAAGAGGCTGGGAGGTTACATCCACTAACGTGTATAAATCACACTGGGCAGTACCTAGCATATGATGTCTACAATGATAGTTGCTATTTATCATAATGATCAGTCCAAGACTAAACCAGGAAAACTCCAGAAGCAGGAAGGACAAAGTGAGACAGTAAACATTTGCAAGGCCTAGGAGCTAGAGGTGGAATTCTAAATCACGACCCAACACCACGTTCTCACCATCTTCCCCTCACTTCCCCACGTGCTCTGAATGCACCCAGCAGCCCCATCTGACAGACGAAAAGACTAAGGCTCAGGCTAGGATTCAAACTCAGGGCTGTGAGGCATCAGCAGCTTGGCTGTGCTAGGAGCCCCTCTCAAACACCAGTGGTCTCATCTGGAAAGCACCACCCCTGCAGCATCGGGGTGGGGCCAAGGGACAAGTGAGTGAACCTGTCAGAGGAGCCCGGCATAAGCAACACTCAAGAAATCGCAGCTGTCGCTATCTGCCCCTTAATGCAACAGGCATCTCTCATCCTCAGGGTACGTGCCCACAGTGGCACAAGGACAGCAGGCGACTGAGCCCCCCAACTTGAGGATCCCAAGTTGCCCAACATCCTCACCCAAACAGCGCCCCCCCCCCCCATACCACGGTCCTCCAGTCTCCCTTTAACATGAGTGGAGGCAGCTGCTGAAAGCTGGCAGAAGAGCTCCCCGGAGATGGGAGATGGGGACAAGGACAGAAGGTGTGAGGGACTGGGCTGCTGCCAGGGAGGGAATGTGAGCCTCAGACCCAGAATCGGGGTTGCAGGGAAGATCGTCAAAATCCCTCCCAGCCCAAGACTATATGGTATGCTTAGCGTGGATACAGTATACTAGAGACCCTACAATTTTACTTCTAGGAATTTATCCTACAGGGAGTAATTGCAGAAGTGTGTCAAGATTTCCCCACAAGAATACGACTCCCAGTGCTGTTTATAACAGCAACGGATGTTTATAATAGCAAATGCCCAACCATAGGGGATTGTCTTTAGCAATTATAATGCAAGCATGTGATGGAATCCCAGGCAGCCATTTACAATATGTTGAAGGAGGACATTTACTGACATAGAAATATAATTACCAGGACTTCCCTGGTGGCGCAGTGGTTAAGAAGCTGCCTGCCAATGCAGGGGACATGGGTTCGAGCCCTGGTCCAGGAAGATCCCACATGCCGCGCAAAGCAACTAAGCCCGTGAGCCACAGCTACCAAGCCCATGCGCCACAACTACTGAAGCCTGCGCGCCTAGAGCCCACTCTCCGCAACGAGAAGTCACTGCAATGAGAAGCCCGCGCACCGCAAAGAAGAGTAGCCCCCGCTCACCGCAACCAGAGGAAGCCTGCATGGAGCAACGAAGACCCAATGCAGCCAAAAATTTAAAAAAAAAAAAAATATATATATATATATATATAATTACCATATATATTGTTAAAGTGGAAAACATTTATAAGACCGTATGCATGGTCATATTTTTGGGAAAAATTTTATGCATAAGCCAGAAACTGGTACGAATCCAAAAAACAAAACAAAAATGGTAACAATTATCTCTGGTTTTTATTTGCCTTTGTTTCCTAAATTTTCTACAATAATCATTTATTATTTTTGTGAATATAAGAAAACAAATGTTTTTAAAAGATGTGCTCAGAAGCAAGAGGCAGGGGTGTGAAATGAGGACATGTCTTGGACATCGGGTCTGCTCCCAGTTCTGCCATAACGTGCTGTGTGACCCCAGGCACACCCTGCCCCTTTCTGGGCTTCTTGCCTGTTAGAGAGGGGCCTGGGCCAGATGGCGTCTGGGGGCTCTTCCACCTCTGATATTCTACAGTTCAGTCTCTATGTGCCAGCGTCACAGGGAAGCTGGGGCAGCCAAGAAAACAAGCACCTACAATGCAGGGAGTGTGGCAGGGGAAGGGAGGGTATTTGAGAGAACTGAGGGGCACTTAATCCCCCTGCAGGAGGAAGGGGGAGGACAACGGAAGGCTTCTTGGAGGAAGTGGTAGCTGAACTGGCCAGAAGACCAAGTAAGGGTTGACCAGGGGTAGGAACAGTGAGGGACACATACACAGCTTGGAGCTAAGGCAGTAGGCAGAGCTTTCCAGGGAGTCCCTGCAATTCCACCTGAGAGCAGGGCCAGAAGGGGCAGGCTTCCTGGGTGGAGCCACAAGAGCTGAGGTGACTGGCCCTGCAATTATTCCCAAAGGGCACCCATGTCCCACTTCCCATTGATAAGGGCAGCCCTCTGCCCTGCAGCCACAGCGAGCCCCACCCCTTGGCCCGGGGCCAGGGCAGGAGCACAGTGGGTGGGGAGGCAGAGCTGCCTCGAAGGTGCCCTGCCTGCTGCCTGGGGGCACCTGCCTACTCGGGCCACCTAGCCCCACATCCCCTGCAGGCCTGGGCACTGCGGGTCTCCAGCCTTTGGTCTATTGCATTAACAGCCTTTCCACATGTGTGCTAATGACAACACAACCAGCAGTCTCAGGCATCTCGGGGGCACAGACCCCTGTGTGAATCTGACAACACTTCTCCATAAAAAATATGCACATATGCTAGAAAATGTTTTAACAATTTCAGAGTCCAAAGCCCGTGTCCCCTACCCCATCCATGGACCTAAAGCCCTAGTTAGTAGAGCCTAAGGATCACGTGGGCAGACTAGAGCCAGGCAGCTTCGTTCAAACCCAAGCCCTACCACCCAGTAATTTTGTAATCTTGGGCAAGTCATTTAACTTCTCAGTGCCCCCAGCTTCCTAATCTGTAAAATGGGAAAACTTGACATACTTCCCAAAGTTGTGAAAATTAAATGAGTGGATACCTAGGAGGTGCTGTGCCTGGCACACAGTGCTGAGCAAGGGTCAGCCGCTGTTTCCATGCACTCCTGTTGCCTATTTAACATACTTGCGATGTGGGTAACACCTGAGCGCACAAAGCACCATCAAGTTCCGTGCTCTCTCTCTCTCTCAAGTCTCTAACAGCCCTTGGAATCCCAAATCCCCATTTTGAGAAGCCGTGTCTTGCCCGGGAGCTGGATGGATGAGCAGAGGCCAGAGAGAGGCCAGCAGGCTAGGGAGAAGGCCATGCAAAGCCCAGGCCCGAGAGAGGGTAAAGGGAGAAAGAGAGTGGGCCAACTAGCCCCCATCCCCAGAGAAGGCCGAATACCCTGGCAAAGTGCTGACCACCAGTGAGCTGGCAACGGGGGCCTCCAGCACTGGCCCCACTGCGACCCCTCAAAGGCCTGGCACCAGCCATTCAAGGCCCTCCGTGCCCGCCTGAATTCCTGTAGCTCAAGGGATGGCAAACTGGGGGTTTCTAACCCTTCTGCAGCCACCCAGGCCTCAAGGACAGCTGGGGGGCTGAGGCCTCAACACCTCCCTCCCGCCCTGGGCCTGCCTGGGCCTTGCCGACATCAGCAGCCGTTTTCCTCAACTCCAGCCTCGCCCAACCAGTCACCAATCTTGGTCATGCATCTAAGCCTTTGCTAATGAAGTTCCCATTGCTTGGAACGCCTCCCCCTTCCCCTTGGGACACTTACTCATCCTTCAAGACCCTAGTTCCAATGTCATCACCTCTCTGAAGTCATCTCCACCCATCGCCCCATTTCCCGCCCCCATGTCCCATTCCTTAGGCTCCCACCCCATCCCTAAGCTATAGCATGGAAGCTGAAAACCAGGACCCTCAAGCTAAAACAGGATGCAGCATTCTTGTTCCTTGACAGCATTTTTCTTGGAGATTAGCTATCAACATCTTAAAATCAGGAGATTTCATATAAAAGTCAGAACTTCCGACTTCTTTAAAAAGAGTACATTTTAGGGACTTCCCTGGCAGTCCAGTGGTTAAGACTCCGAGCTTCCACTGCAGAGGCACGGGTTCGATCCCCGTTCAGGGAACAAAGCTCCCGCATGCGTCACAGCATAGCCAAAAAAATAAAAATAAATACATAAAATTAAAAAAAGAAATATAAAAAGAGCACATTTTGGTGACACACGCCCACTGGCCACCATCAGCTGACACTATAAAGCGCCCACCTCAGATGGGTTAACACAGTCCCATAACCAACCTCCCTCTCTCATGTGGCTTCCTGCCCAGCCCCTGAGCACATCTGAGTGTGTGGTCCATGCAGAGCAGACTTGGGGCATTTCTACACACGGCTTTGTGCCCTGGAACCTGCAGATCACGGGGCAGAACCAGGATATACTGACCCGTGCATGGGCAGGCCCTGCCTGGTACCTGGCACACAGAGGGCTTCCCCACATGCCTGGGTGCCCCAAAGGGCAGGGACAAGTCTGATTCATTGTGGAAGCTCCCATCACTTTTTCCAGCAATGGTCCTTACTGAATACTCAGGATATAAATGATGAGCAGCTGTTATTATTCCCAGTTTACAGATAAGGAGACTGAGGCCCAAGGTGAGGTGACTTTCAGTCCTCCATGAAGCCCAGGTGTTTCTATAATAAAAATAATAGCAATAATAACATTATAATTATCATCATTGTTATTTTTAACTGCATTTACCCTGAGCCAGGCACTGTGCTGAGGACTTTTACATACTTTCTCTCAATTAATCCTTACAACTAGTACTGTCATTATTCACACTTACAGTTGCAGAAAATAAGGCTCAGAGATGCTAAGTCACTTGCCCAAAACCATATAGCTAGTCAGTGACAGAGCTGAAATTTGAACCCAGACCCCAAGAAATGGTGATGGATCCAGAGCCCATAGGGGAATCTTGGCAGGGACAGGGGAGAGCATGAGGGGGCCTCAGCTACCAAGGCCTCCAGCCCT